TTTAAAAAGCTCAGGCTGACCACTGCCCCTAACAAGGTGCTGTTTTGCTGCTTGGTGGTGCCTCACTTTCTATTTCAGATCAGAGCAGCTGAGTGTTTATAGGTGGGTACCTGGCACGATGCCTGGGGGAACACAGAAGGCCTCTCAAAGATCTGTCAAATGAGGCTAGGGTCTTTAAACAGCAAATACTGCCATAGAACAGCCTCTAACAGCAGTTAAAAACCCTCCATTTAAACCAGCTGTGAACTCCACATGGCGTGCACAGGCAGGACACGTGGTTGCCCCTGAGGCCTCTGCAGGCCAGAGCGGATAGGGTGAGTGTGTCTGAGAAGTCTGCACTGTAATGGCCCCCTTGTTGCACAGTCCCAGAATTGGGTTTCGCCACATAAGAGCAAAAACAGGAATTGGCTGTATAGTGTTTCAGCTTCAAGAGGCTTTCACTTTGAGCCTGATTCCATTTCTCTGTTACCCAGTACTTGACAAGTAGCACCACGCCTCCAGCAAGGCTGTCCCTTAGCTGCAGGTGAGAGCACAGCAGTGTACAACTCAGGCTTGCGACAGGCTGGAAACCCAAAACCGCTGTGGGAGGAAGGAGGGTGTGTGGCAGTTCTAAGTCATTGAAATTACTGTTCTCTCTCCCCAGGCCCTGTGGGGGTGTTCCTGCTCTTATTTCTCTTTCCTGCATTCACCCTTTAGGAACTAGAGCTGAGGAGCACAGTTTGACGGCTAGGGCAAATGGCAAGGAGAAATTAACTCCTAAAATTGACAGTGGTGGTAATCACATGCCACCTGAGAGAAGGCTCCCGTGGGATCCTTGCCATAGGCAGGGCCACTGAAACGTCATGGTGCAGTGGGTCCAGCAGTGCCAGTGCTCTGTGAAGTGATGAACCAGCCATGTCAAAAAAATGAACAGAAGTATAGCCAGCATTTGTGAGAGTTTTCTTTTTGAGCAGCTATTTAGAAACGGTTTTCTCTACAATTTTATAATTTTTATAAAATCAGACTTTATACAGTATCTTGCTCATTGGGTTACCATGGGGAATTGACTAGAATCCTTCTATGCAGTTGTCTGTGAAGATGTGTGGCACAATGCCAGGCTCTAGAAGAGACAGGAAATAAATAGCATGTGCAAGATGCTGTATGTTGTTTACCAGCTCCCTCTTGGTCCTAAGTAAATAAACTACGAGAAAGGGAGTGTCAGTTCTAAACAGGCATAATTGCTGGTTCCTGATGACTCTTTGTTAAAGCAGTTAGCCAAAGGCCATGCATCCATAAGCTGTGATAACATGATGAGAACGTAAGTGTGTTACATAATTTCTCTGTATTCTTCTGAATGTTTAAAGTACAAGTAAAAGGAAAAAAGATATTCTTTAAAAAACACATTGAGAAATGACTGTTTGAATGAGAATATCATCTGTCTGATTCAAACTAGAGATAAAGCTGTCTTTTCCCCCCTTGCCTTTAATCCACCTCAGAAAACAGCAAATGATACATTTCTTCCTCTTCCTTATTTATTTGCATGTTTATTTTAATAACTTTGTTGAGTTATAATTTACCTCCAATAAGTTCACCTATTTTAGGTAAATAGGCTGATGAATTTAAGAAATTATACACAGCAATGTAAATACCTCCATGATAAAGAAAAATAGAACATCTCTACACCTTTAAAAATTCCTTCACGGTCCTTTGCGGTTGATCCCTTCCCTTAATACCCAGCCCTGGGCAACCTCTGATCAGCTTTCTGTCACTATAGCTTTGACTTTTAAAAATTTTTATATAAATGGAATCATACTGCATGTAGTCTCCTGTGTTTCTTCTTTCACTTAACATAATGTTTTGGAGACTTACCTATATTGTTTGGTGGTTTCATATTTCATTCCTTTTATTGCTTTAGGGATAAGTATGGATCTATTAAGTAAGAGAATATAAGCATTTATGTGTGTGTGCATATAAGTAAGGTGGTTCATGTGAGCGTGTCCTCTCCTTACCACTCCACTTACCAACTGCTCAAATGAATTAAGATGTCTCTTCATAATGAACACATGCCTCTTACCTTTTGACAGTTTAACTATGAAAATTTGACTGTTCCTTTATTTCTTTTGCAAATTAAGGTTATACTTAAAACTTTAAACATTATTTGTATTAGGCAATTTGATTATGATATGCCTGGATACAGTTTTCTTCATGATTTTTGTGCTTGAAGTTTATTGAGCTGCTTCTATCTGTGGATTGATAGTTTACATCAGATTTAGAAAAAATTTTGGTCATTATTTCTTCACATACTTTTATTCCATCTCCTCCCCTTCTCGTCTCCTTCAGTGACCAGCTCATTGGTCCATCCATCCTTCTTTGTTTCATTTGTCATTTTTCTGTTTCATTTTAGGTCATATTTCTGTTTCATTTTAGGTCATTTCTATTGCAGGGTCATCAAATTTTCTAGTCTTTCCTTCCACAATGCCTAGTCTGCTCTTGTTCCCATTTGGCATGTTTTTCATCGTAGGCATTGTAGTTTTATTTTTGGAAATTTGATTTAAATCTTTTTTTTTTTTAAATTTTCTATGTCTCTAAGATGTTTATTCTTTTTTTCTAGCTTCTAGAACATAAAGAATACAGTTATAACTTTTAGAGTCCCTGTCTGCTAATTTTATCATTTGTAGTTTATCATTTGGTCTGTTTCTGTTGATTGATTTTTTTCCTCATTATGACTTGTACTTCCCACTTCATGCATGCCTAGTCATTTTTAAAATTGGATACCAGATATTGTGAATTTTACCTTTCTGTGTGCTGGATTTTTTTTTGTATTGCTCTAAATATTCTTGAGCTTTGTTCTTGGATATATTAAATGACTCTGAAACAGTTTGATCCTTTTGAAGTTTGCTTTTAAGCTTTGCTTGGTAGGATGAGCACAGGCTTTAGGAATACCATTGGTAGCCTTTCTCAGTACTCTTTCTGATGCCCTGTGAATTATGAGGTTTTCCTGTGTGAGCCTCAAGGATGGTTTCCTTTGCTTCTCTCAGTTGGTTCTCTCGCTGTCCTCAGATAGCTTTCTTATATCGAACCGCAATCAGTACTCAGTTGAAGACTTGGGGGACCATCTAAGATCTCTGCGACACTCCCTCTGTGCAGCTATCTTCTCTCTAGTACTCTGCTCTATGAGCTGCAACTGCCTTGAGAGTCTCCACTCTATCTTCTCAGCTCAGAGAGATGCTGGGCTCCTCCTGGGTGTCCCCTGCCTGCACCCTGGCCTGGAAACTGTCTCCAGGCAGTAAGGTGAGCTTACCTCATTGGCTTTCCCTCTCTCAGGATCACTGTCCTGTGCTGCCTGATGGCCAATGTCTGAAAACCATGGTTTCCTATATTTTTAATTTTTTTTTTTTCAGTTCTTTAGTTTTCACCAGGGAGGGTAAATCTAGTCCTTGTTATTCCATCTTCACTGGAAGCAGAAATCTCAACCTACTTTTTAAAACTTTTAATGAAATATTTTTAGCACACAGGCAAGTATATTGATTACTCAGATAGCCATGACTCATTTTTAGAGTTTTGTCATATTTCTACTGCATTTTTAAAAACAGAACATTACTAAGATCCTCTCTCTCTCTCTCTTTTTTTTTTTTTTTAGAGATAGAATCTTGCTCTATCGCCCAGACTGGAGTACAGTGGTGCAATCTCAGCTCACTGTAACCTTCACCTCCCAGGTTCAATGATTCTTGTGCCTCAGCCTCCTGAGTAGCCGGGACTACAGGTGTGCGCCACCACACCCAGCTAATTTTTGTATTTTTAGTAGAGACAGAGTTTCGCCATGTTGGCCAGGCTGGTCTTGAACTCCTGACCTCAGGTGATATGCCCGCCTTGGTCTCCCAAAGTAATGGGATTACAGGCATTAGCCACGGCACTGGGCTAAATGCTCTCTTCTTGATCCCGTTCTTTACCTTTACAGAGGTTGCCAATATTCTGTATTTGATAATTGTAATTTGTGTGTGTATTTTAAAAAATAGTTTTACTACATATATATGTGTCTATAAGTAGTCTCTATTAATAGTATAATCTGAAGATATAAAACAGTATCATGCTATACCTATAATTCTTCCATTTTCTTTTTCATTCAGTGTTTAAAAAATGTTTATCCCTATGATACATATAGCTTTGGCTGAAATGTACATTCCATAAGAATAAGAATCTTGCTATGTTTTGTTCACTGGGATATTCCAAGCATCTAGAATAGTGCCTGGCATGTTGTAGGCTCAAGCAATAATTGCTGGATGAATGAATTAATTTTAAGTGCTGTAGTACTTGACTATATGAATATGCCACAGTTTATTCTCCTGTTCATGAATGTTTAGGTTGTTGTACCTTTTTATTATTTTTGTAATATGAACAGTGCTGCAGTGAATGTTTTTGTTTGTGTCTCCTTGTGCACATATGTAAGAATTTATTTTAGCAAATACTGGATGTTAGGGGTAGGCACCTCTTCAACTTAACAGTACCTTGCTGAGTTCTTCTGCGTGGTAATACTATCAATTTATAATCCCACCAGCAATGTATGAGAATCCCCATTTCGGTTGGGTGAGATGGCTCACACCTGTAATCCCAGCACTTTGGGAGGCCGAGGTGGGCAGATCACCTGAGGTCAAGAGTTCAAGACCAGCCTGGCCAATATGGTGAAACCTTGTCTCTACTAAACAAACAAACAAAAAAAAAATTAGCTGGGCGTGGTGGTGCATGCCTGTAATCCCAGCTACTCAGGGAGGCAGAGGCAGGAGAATTGCTTGAATCCAGGAGGCAGAGGTTGCAGTGAGCCAAGACTATACCACTGTACTCCAGCCTGGGTGACAGACGGAGACTCCATCTCAAAAAAAAAAAAAAAGGGAATCCCCATTTCTCTATCCTCACCAACATTTGATATCATCAGATATCTTAATTTTTGCCAATCCTATATATGTGCGGTTACATTTTGTTTTACTTTTGTTTTTGTTAATAACACATACTGTTTTTCCCAATAGAAATTCGATGTCTTCTTTCCGTCCTGGGAGAGGACATAATGATAGTCGGAGGACTGTGTTTTATACCAATGAAGAGTGGGAACTTTTAGACCCAACCCCTAAGGACCTAGAGGAGTCCGTAGTACAGGAAGAAAAGAAGAAGCTTACCCCTGAAGGAAACAAAGGTATCAGTGTACTTCCTGTTGTCTGTCATTCTCTGTACTGCTATCTGTTAACCACCAGTGATGTGGGAGACACTTTATTAGCAGGTATTTTGAGAAGCATAAGGACCAAGACCAATGGGGGCTTGCATTCTCTTTGTTGGACTTAAAACATAAAGGCTTAAAAAGTTATTTAATAAATGTTATAAGAAATAAATGACTGTCTAGTCCAATGGCTCAGTTTTTTGGGGGAGATAGCACACTTGGAAGTCATGATCCTCTTTATGGAAATATTGATTTTAAAAAACTTTATAGACATTTGAAATGTACACAAAAGAAGAGAATATAATCTCATGAATTCTGGTGTACCCATCATCCAGCTTCTACAGTGTGAACTATGGTCTCTCTTCCTCCTTCTCTGTCTCTAAGCTCTTGCTCCTCCCTGCACCCACTGTCAGCTGGATTATTATTGTAGGCATTAATCCATTGCATCTGCAAATGCTTTAGTATGTATCTCTAAGAGATAATGATTCTTTTAAAAAAATTATAACCGGCCAGGCATGGTGGCTCCCCATAATCCCAGCACTTTGGGAGGCTGAGGCGGGTGGATCACGAGGTTAGGATATCGAGACCATCCTGGCTGACACCGTGAAACCCTGTCTCTACTAAAAATACAAAAAATTAGCCGGGCGTGGTGGCGGACACCTGTAGTCCCAGCTACTCGGGAGGCTGAGGCAGGAGAATGGCGTGAACCCGGGAAGCGGAGCTTGAAGTGAGCCGAGGTCGTGCCACTGCACTCCAGCCTGGGAGACAGACCGAGACTCCGTCTCAAAAAAAAAAATTACAACCACAACCTTTTTTTTTTTTTTTTTTTTTGAGACAGAGTCTCGCTCTGCCGCCCAGGCTGGAGTGCAGTGGTTGGATTTCAGCTCACTGCAAGCTCCGCCTCCCGGGTTTACTCCATTCTCCTGCCTCAGCCTCCCGAGTAGCTGGGACTACAGGCGCCCGCCACCTCGCCCAGCTAGTTTTTTTTTGTATTTTTTAGTAGAGACGGGGTTTCACCGTGTTAGCCAGGATGGTCTTGATCTCCTGACCTCGTGATCCGCCCGTCTCGGCCTCCCAAAGTGCTGGGATTACAGGCTTGAGCCACCGCGCCCGGCCACCCCAACTTCTTTATTATATTTACAGTTACAATAAATCCTTAATATTATTTAATTTCTTAATTGTTCCTTAAGTGTCTGTTTACAGCCGATTTGTTCAAATGAGGATTCAAACAAGACCCACACATTGTATTTAATTGATGTCTTCTTGGATCTCTTTTAGTCTAAACGGCTCCCTGGGTTTTTTTTTCCTTCCCCTTCGCTTGCCACATTCATTGAAGAAACCAGGTCTTTGCGCTGAGAAGTCTCCCACGTCTGGGTTTGCTGATTGTATTTCTGTGGGGTCATTTAACGTGCTCCTGTCCCATGTAATTCCTGTATACTGGTAGTTAGGGCCGGAGGTCTGCCCAGATTCAGGGTTGACTTCTGATTCGACAGGAATGTTTTGGTGGGGAGATGCTGCATGCTTCCTGTCGCATCACATCTGAAGCCACATCATCTGTTTCTCTCTTTTGATGTTAAGATTGATCAAAGTTTAGGGTTGTCATCCTGATCCATTCATAAAATTCTCTGTTGGCCTTTTGCCTGATGCTTTTAACAACCATTTACAATCCTAGATTTATTTATGCATTTATTTAATTTATTGAGACAGAGTCTCACTCTGTCACGCAGGGTGGAGTGCAGTGGTGTGATCCTGGCTCATTGCAACCTCTGCCTCCCAGGTTCAAGAGATTCTGCCTCAGCCTCCTGAGTAACTGGGATTACAGGCGCCCACCACAATGCCTGGCTAATTTTTGTATTTTCAGTAGAGATGGTGTTTCATCATGTTGGCCAGGCTGTCCTTGAACTCCTGACCTCAGGTGATTTGTCCACCTTGGTCTCCCAAAGTACTAGGATTACAGGCGTGAGCCACTGTGCCTGGCCACAGTCCTAGATTTGTTAATTCATTAGGAGAATATTGATGTTTTAAACATAAAACAACAATAAATAATTTTGAAATTCCACCTTATGCCTAATTCTAGCATGGGGCAGCAGGAATAGGGTGCAGGATTTGAGGAAACCTTTATTGGGAGAGTAAGCACTTAGGAAAGGAAATATTTTTTCTGTCTCCTAGAAAAGGACTGTCATGATTTGCTGTGAGAGGGAGCTTACCTGTGCTCCATAGATCCTGGTGTAGAACCCACTGGTCTGGTATGACATGGTATAGAATGTGGCCACACTGAATGTGCTGAATTACCTAATGCGTGGCAAGGCCAGTGGGAGTGCCAAGGAGAGGGGCTCAGTATGAGCTGATAATGCTACCTGGAGGAAAAGGGATTAAAACTGGGGATTTGGGTTATTGAAAATAAGTACTGTTGGCTGTGACTTCCAGTAGAGACTAAGGGTGAAATGGAAGGATGAATGTGAGCAGGACTGGGGAGGAGAAATCGGGAGCACTTAGTGAGTTGGGACAGGAGGAGAAACTCCCTGCACCATGGAGAGTGTTTTCTTGACGGATGACAGCCTTCTTAGCCCTCTGCCCAGCCCTTCATCCCCTTTGAGGGGAGTTTACGTGATAGACAGGGAGAGACAAAGATGTCACTAGACTTTGATCTTACGCTCTTCATGGGTATTTCCTGAAACAGCTCCAAGAATCAGCCCTCCAACTTGTCCATGTTATTCACAGAAAGTGAACTACCCTTCCTTTATTTTCCCCTATCTTTAAGTAAACTTTTTATTGATGTATAACATGCAGGAAAGTCCCCAAATCAGAAATATATAGCTCAGTGAGTTGTCACAAAGTGAATACATCCATGTAACCAGCACTCACTTTAAGAAAGATGACTATGCCAACACCCCAGGAGCCTGCTGCCATCGCCGTGCCCTTTCCAGTCACTACTCCGCCCCAGGGAACCGCTGTGCTGATTCCTAACAGTGTAGGTTGGTTCTGCCTGTTTTCTAACTTTATATAAATCACACTTGCATAATATATACTCCCTTGTGTCTCCTCTTTGTAATTGGAATATATATATTTGAATCTCTCTACACTGACGTTTATTTAGATCTCATAGTATTTTTTTTTCTTTTTTAGTGATGGAGTCTCTGTGTTGCCCAGGCTGGCCTTGAACTCCTGGGCCTAAGCTGCCCTCCTGCCTCAGCCTCCAATAGCTGGGACCACTGGTACATGTCCCTGTGCCTGGCCTGACAGTATTTCTGAATACTCATTTTTTTTTTTTGTTTTTTTGTTGTTGTTGTTTTGAGACAGAGATTCGCTCTTGTTGCCCAGGCTAGAGTGCAGTGGCTTGATCTCGGCTCATTGCAACCTCCGCCTCCCAGATTCAAGTGATTCTTCTGCCTCAGCCTCCTAACTGGAATTACAGGCATGCACCACCACGCCCAGCTAATTTTGTATTTTTAGTAGAGACAAGGTTTCTCCATGTTGGTCAGGCTGGTCTCCAATGCCCGACCTCAGATGATCTGCCCACCTTGGCCTCCGAAAATGCTGGGATTACAGACGTGAGCCACCATGCCCGACCCCAAATATCCATTTTTAAGAAGGGGAATATAGTCATGCTTTAAAACATGCATGTCTTAGTTTGTTTTATATTGTTATAACAGAATACCATAGACTGGGTAATTTATAATGAACAGAAATTTATTTGGCTCATGGTTCTGGGGTTAGAAGTCCAAAAGCATGGCACTGGCATCTGGGGAGAGCCTTTGTTCTGTGTAGTCCCTTGGCGGAAGGCAAGAGAGAAAGAGAGCAAGAGAGGGTAAGAGTGAGGGAGAGCCAGGGTACCAAACTTGTTTTTATTACAAATCTGCTCTGGTGATAACTAACCTACCCTGGTGATAACAACATTAATCCATTCACAGGGGCAGAGTCCTCATGACCTAATCACCTGTTATTAGGCCCCACTTCCCAATACTGTTACATTGAGGATTAAATTTCTAACACATAAACTTTGGGGGACACATTGAAAGCATAATGATGTTTGTACGTTTAAAAAAACCAACATACATTTGAGTGTTCTTGGTTTTTTGCTAAGGACAAATTAGCAAAAATAGGATGCTTAATATGTCTTAGTTTTCCATGAAAAATGATCCTGTGATAAAGTCTTCCAAGGAAGGATCCAGTGGGGGGAAATCAGTCGTCTCTGGTTGAAGCATGTTGGTTACTATCTAGAATGCAGTGGGGGCAGAGTCGTCAATCTCCTGTAGTTCTCAAGGTAGTGAATTTCAAACTCCCTGGAGGATGATTTGTGAGGTTGCTTTATTTTGTTATAGTTTCCAAAAGGAAGATGTGGCTTGCATTTAAAATACAAGTTTTGGCCAGGTGTGGTGGCTTACGCCTGTAATTCCATCACTTTGGGAGGCTGAGGCGGGTGGATCCGAGGTCAGGAGATCAAGACCATCCTGGCTAACACAGTGAAACCCCATCTCTACTGAAAATGCAAAAAATTATCCAGGCTGGTGGTGGGCACCTGTAGTCCCAGCTACTGTGCAGGCTGAGGCAGGAGAATGGTGTGAACCCGGGAGGCGGAGCTTACGGTGAGCCAACATTGCGCCACTGCACACTAGTCTGGGCAACAGGACGAGGCTCCGTCTCAAAAAAAATAATAATAAAATACAAGTTTTATTTTTATGTAGGAGTAACTGGCTCAGGATTCCCCTTTGATTTTGGACGTAACCCCTACAAAGGAAAGCGCCCTTTGAAAGACATAATTGGGTCGTACAAAAATCGTCACAGCAGTGGTGACCCTTCAAGTGAAGGCACATCAGGCAGTGGCAGCATCAGCATCAGGAAGCCGGGCTCCGAAATGCAACTGCAGATCCAGAGCCAGCAGGAAGAGCTGGAACGGTTAAAGAAAGACCTATGCAGTCAGAAGGTAACTTCTGGTTTCTGTCTTACCCCACATCAGCAGGCCAAGGATGGGAGAAATAAAGCCCAATTTATGTTTCCCTGAGTCTGGGAACAGCTTTGTTTCCCAGAAGTTGCTTTTCCTCTGGAGGTTTCATATTGCCATGGCCATCATCTAGGCGCGGCTGCTGTGCTTAATCATTAGTTCAGAGGTGTTTGCATTTGCAAGGAGAGTGAAGATCTCTCAAAGGAGGACAGAGGAGGTTGCTGTCTGCACCCACCGCCCAGTCCTGCCCCTGAGGTTGAATCTCCCTGAACACAGTTTCAGCCCAGAGTTCTTTAACAGTCGTTAAAAAGAGTTTCTGCATCCTATTCAACAACAGTTTCCTGAGCTAATCAGATCGAATTACATTTAATTGTTCAGTAGTTCAGTGACTCTTAGAGCACAGATTTTTTAATACCCATGAACATTTACTGGACACCATTGCTAATTACAGTACACATGTCCATTATTTCCTGTTTCCTATTACTGTTCTCTACAGACAGTCTTTATGGAATAAATATTTTTTTCCTCTATTTTTGAGATCCTTCAAGAGGAAGTTCAGTATTAAAATGTTTCCAGTAAAGTTTCTACATTTCCTCAAATTCTGTTGATTGCTCTGTGTAATGTTGTCATAATTTCTGCTTTTCCTCCCCTCCTCACCCTTCACTCCATTCTCCTTTTGGCTCCCAGGAGCTTGTTCGACTGCTCCAGCAGACAGTCCGGTCATCCCAGTATGACAAGTATTTCACAAGCAGCCGGCTCTGCGAGGGGGTCCCAAAAGACACACTCGAGCTTCTGCACCAAAAGGATGATCAGATTCTGGGCCTTACCAGCCAGCTGGAGAGGTTCAACCTGGAGAAGGAGAGCCTTCAGCAGGAAGTGAGGACGCTGAAGAGCAAAGTGGGCGAGCTCAACGAGCAGCTGGGGATGCTCATGGAGACCATCCAAGCCAAGGATGAGGTCATCATCAAGCTCAGCGAGGGCGAGGGCAGCGGGCCTCCTCCCACTGTGGTGCCCAGCTCCCCTTCAGCCACGCCTGTTGCCAGGGACCAGCTGGAACTGGACAGGCTCAAAGTAAGAGCAGGGCAGGGGCTCTGGTGATTGGCATGAGAGACCACCGATGTCACCCTAGAGGCCTGGCCTCCATGAGCTGATTTGGTGTGATGGACAGCTACACACCTTTTTTTTTTTTTTTTTTTTTTTTTTTTCCACAAGTGTAACAGGACTTACCATCAAATAATCATTAATCATCTGTGGAGCTTCCTTGGAAAAGGAAACTCTTGCTGTTATTTGGAACAGTTTCAAATCCTTCCCCTCCCTTGCTTTCAAGCAACTGAGACTTACCTTTCTATATATACCACCCTTAGTACTTCATTATCCCATGTATCATACAGAGGCTGTTTCTTACCCCTCTTGTGTACATGAAAGCACACACAAACTTAATTTGTAAAGTTTGCTGCAGGACCTAGTGGATGCCTGCTTTGGGAGCATTGTTCCTAACAGCTAGTTTAGGATTAGCTGAGGAAGCAGACTCCAGCTTCCAAGCAGGCCTAGGAAGAGGACCTGTTCAGAGTCAGTGCCCCCAACACCCAAGATGGGAGGGTACTGACACTTAGTAGGAAGGACAGCTTTCCTCCCCATGTCCCTCTCTGGGCTAGCCCTCAGGGTGGGAGGCTATTTCCTGAACGGAAGTGACCCTCCAAGTCATGCCTGGGGTGGTGACCAACTGATGTGGTAGGAGGAACACACAGCATTTGTGAGAGGCGGGGGCAGCCTGCATTTCTCTTGCCCATAGAGAAGCCTCCTGTTTCAGAGGGGAAGCCACAGGGAGGATCATAACATTCTTGCTGCCACCAGTTCTTGAGACTTGGTTGGAGTGGTTTTAGGTGGACACGTGGCCCCCAGGACGTGGGGCATCAAGTATAGCCCGTTTGACCCCAGCAGACCCCAAACATGTCTGTAGCTACTGGTCTTAGCCCCAAGGCATCCCTTACCTGGCCACCCTCATCTTGCAAATAATGTGTTTTCAAGGGTGTTTGGCTCCGGAGGGAGCTTGTCCTTGGAGGGCCGAGGTTTGTTACTGTCCAGGTTGTTACTGAGCATTTGCTTCATGCCTAGCAGTACCTTTCAGGTACTGCCAATGCATTGAGTGAGGGAATGATGGGCATGCTGGGGACCCTGAAGATAATTCCAAAACAGAAGTAAAAACACTGGAATCATGGCAGCAGGGCTGGAATATGTACATGGTCCCCAGAGTGACCACTTCTCACTGATAACACCCTTTGGATATGTGAGGCCCAGAGGATTTATGAATGAGAAAATCCAAAACAACAATAAAACCTCTGGTCTCAATACTTTACCATTGTATCTACTATTAAAAAAAAAAAAAGCTGGCAGTGCATGATGGCTCATGCCTGTGATAGCAGCACTTTGGGTGACTGAGGTGGGCACATTGCTTGAGCCCAGGAGTTTGAGACCAGTGTAGGCAACATAGTGAAACCCCCATCTCTACAAAAAAAAAAAAGGCCAGGCATGGTGGCTTGTACTTGTAGTCCCAACTACTCAAGAGGCTAAAGTGGGAGGATTGCTCGAGCCCTGGAGAGCAGAGCAAGGCTGCAGTGAACTGAGATCCTACCACCGCACTCCAGCCTGGATGACAAAAGTGAGACCCCGTTGCGAGAAAAAAATAGCCTTTGTGGTTTTTTTTGTTTTTTGTTTTTTTGTTTTTTAAATAGGAGGTATTGGTTAACGTTGCCAATGGAAGTTGGGTTTTTTAATGTACACAACATTGAATATACATGACCCTAAATATATACCCATCAATAATACAAATTTTGGGATTACTTAATGATAGCAGAAATTTTTATTTTTATGTATTTTTTTTTGAGACAGTGTTTTGCTCTGTTGCAGGCTGGAGTACAGTAGTGCAATTTCAGCTCACTGCAGCCTTAACCTCCCTGGCTCAAGAAATCCTCTGGCCTCAGCCTCCTGAGTAGCTGGGTGGGACTAGAGGCGTACATCACCACACCCAGCTAATTTTTTTATTTTTAATAGAGACAGAGGTTCGCCGTGTTGCCCGGGCTGGTCTTGAACTCCCGAGCTCAAGTGATCCTCCTGAGATTACAGGCATGAGCCATGGCACCCAGCAGACGGGTGAAGGTTTTATTTTGCAAGTGTGTCTGTTTCTGTAGTGTGTAGAATAGTACTATAGTGGTGGGTTTTCAGGGCGTGCGTGACACTCGGCAGTGGGGGAGACGTGTGGAGCAGGTTTTCCGGGGGAGCAAGCCGGGGTTGTGTGAAGAGTATGCTTCGTGGCTGTCGCGACTGTGTAGCTCCTTCTGTAGGCAGCTGATAGAGCTGATCGGGATACAACGCTGATCAGAACAGGACATTCCCTCCTCTTTTCTTTCTGCAGTGTAATGGGTGGGGTGGTTTTGAATCAGCCATGAAGTTTTTTTTCCTCCAACATTTCTCAACAAGTTTAACCATTTTTAACAACTTAAGCCTGTGACCCCAAAATATCACAACCGTGAGGTGATGTAGTGACAGTTGATGAAGAGGCAAAGTGGTTGTTAGGTGGATTCCGGGCGAGACAATTGAGGCCTGCCTGGGTCCATGACCTCATGCTGTCTGACATTGCTCTGTTTTTTTTTTTTTTTTGAGACGGAGTCTTGCTCTGTCGCCCAGGTTGGAGTGCAGTGGCCGGATCTCAGCTCACTGCAAGCTCCGCCTCCCGGGTTTACGCCATTCTCCTGCCTCAGCCTCCCGAGTAGCGGGGACTACAGGCGCCCGCCACCTCGCCCGGCTAGTTTTTTGTGTTTTTAGTAGAGATGGGGTTTCACCATGTTAGCCAGGATGGTCTCGATCTCCTGACCTCGTGATCCGCCCATCTCGGCCTCCCAAAGTGCTGGGATTACAGGCTTGAGCCACCGCGCCCGGCCCTGACATTGCTCTGTTATTGCCAGTGCTGGGGGTCCCTCTGCAATGCAGAAGGTGTTCACACCTCATATAGGTCTCCTCTGCAGTGGCACTGGGAGAACTGGAAAGGCTCCAAGGAGAAAGAGGGAGTGCACTGACAGAAGTGGGTGTTCTGATGTGCGTTCCTTCATAGCCCTTCAGCTCTAGACAGGGTATGGTTGAAGAAGAAATATTGATTCCTACTTTTGATTCCAAATTTAAAATGTCTAAGTGGAAAAATATATATATTTAAGATATGTTTATTTAAAGCATATTTTATATATTTTTAATTTTAAATATATGTTTATGTATCTTTTTTGTTATTGCCGTTCTTGACCAGTTTTCATGCTTTATTGTCAGTGGATGCTGCCTGTAAAGATTTCTGCCATTTGGAATTTGCTAACTTTTTTTGGTGTAGTCTAATGCTTTTTGTTTCTGTAGTATTCTGAGGCAGGAATAAACATTGGTCCTAGGATTTTGCCACCCTAGTGATTTAAGTCATTCTTTTTCTATGTTTCCTTCCAATCCTTTTCTATGTTTCCATAATGCTTCCATTTGTGAAGTATATGGACTTCCAGATTGTTCCATTCAGCATTGTGGCCCCAGCACTTCCACATTGCTTTCATTAACGATTTCAGTGTTGTCCATCCTTTGTGTTGTCATTTACTTCATCCTTGTCTTTCTTCCTGCGTTTGCTGTTCCATGAATACCTCCATGCCTACAGCTTCTCCTTCCAGCTCATCTATGCATCCAGCTTTGTGCCTACTCTTTTATTCTGCATGGGTACACAGGCACTGCACTCCTGGGCCTCACGGTTTAGTTTAGAGGCACAAACAGAAAAGCAGAATGACAACTGGAGCAAGCACCAGGAGGGAAGGGGATGTGGAACAGCGTGGGGTGATGCGTTACATGACCTCTGGAGCCAGCCCTGGTTGGATTCAAAGTCAGATCACCACTTAGGACCTCTGACTTGGGCAGGTGAATTCATGTCTCTGCTTCAGTGTGTCTGTCTGTGAAATAGTGCTTATTTTCATCATAGGTATTGTAAGGGTTACAGGCAGTAATCCACGTAAAGCCCTCCCTCACACAGTGCCTGGCTCCTCATAAGGTCTTCACTATTGAGTGTTGTTATTGCTGTGGTCATCATCATTCTAGAGAAAGTAGCTGTAATATAAATGATCAGGACTTAACTTAGATTGTAACACAAATTTTAAGTTAAAGACATACATGACAGCTGATGTTACTTGCTTTCACTGACCCACCTTGTATCACTCAGTCTCTATCCATCACTGTTGAGTGTTTTCTTCACTTGCCCTCCAGCCAGCTTTCCTTTGGCTAACCTGCCTTTTAGTAATATGTTTGCTTAATCTTTCCAAATATGAGACCTTTGGCCAGGTGCAGTAGCTCATACCTGTAATCCCAGTGCTTTGGGAGACCGAGGCAAGAGGATCACTTGAGGCCAAGAGTTTGAGACCAGCCTGGGCAACATAATGAGATCTCATCTCTACAAAAAAAAAAAAAAAAAAAAAAAAAAAAAATTAGCTGGGTGTGGTGGCCATGCCTGTGGTCCTAGCTACTCAGGAGGCTGAGGTGGGAGGATCACTTATGCCCAGGAGTTCGAGACTGCAGTGAGCTATGACCGCGCTAGTGCACTCCAGCCTGGGCAATAGAGTTAGACCTTGTCTCCCACCCTTTTTTTTTTTTTTTTTTTTTTTTTTTTGGATACAGTGTCTCACTATTTCACCCAGGTTGGGGTGCAGTGGCATGATCTTGGCTCAGTGCAGCCTCTGCCTCCTGGGGTCAAGTGATTCTCATGCCTCAGAAAGGGTAGTTGGGACTAGAGGTGTGCACTACCACATCTGGCCAATTTTGGTTTTTTTTTTGTATTTTTAGTAGAGACAGGGTTTTGCCATGTTAGCCAGGCTGGTCTCAAACTCAAGTGATCCTCCTGCCTTGGCCTCCCAAAGTGCTGGGATTATAGGCATGAGTCACCATGCCCAGCCAACTTGTTTCTTAAAAAAAAAAAATAAAAGCTTTTAAGACACCAGTAGAAAGGAAATTCAGGTGAGAAAAGGAAGTCCAATATTCAACATTTCAAGTACTTGTCGTGACGTGGTTTTGCTCAGGCTGAGTATGATGCCTGTCGAAGTTCTTGTGGGAGTCGGGCCTGAGACCATGGAGCTAAGAGCCCACTGGTCTGGCTCTCAGAAGTCTGATTTGCAGCCTAGACAGTAATTGGGCAACTTTCTATGGCTCAATTCTTCACCTCAAAAATAAAGATGGTGAGAATGACTGCCTAAGAGTTGTGAGTTTTAACAAGATTAGGAATCTCACATGCGTAGCTCGGGGCACCTGTAACCCATTGCAAGTGCTCCATAAATGTTAGTGATTAAAGGGAACATTGAACCATTTTCAGTTCTGCATTTTATGGGGGAAATGGTATAATCCCGTGGTGGTTTCTTGTTTGGCGATGAGGAATTTCTGTAGCCACATCTCTGGGGAGCAGCAGCAGTCTCCTGCCTGTGGTATCACCAGAGTCTGTCTTGACTCCCCTGGCCTGCTCTTTGAGCTGTCTTGAACATAATTTCTTCTGTGATTGGGAGATCAGGAACCTCACACACCAGCCTGTCAGATTATAAAAGAGAAACAATTAGAAGCGGGGCGGGATGGGGAGAAGAGACACATTTATAAAAGACTGAATTTGTAAAGAAGATTCAGAAGTCACTGCCTCAGAGGTGATTTGGATTAGTATCCTTAGCAGCGTCTTCAGTTCATTGTTTTTATTATTAGGAAAGTCTAAGGAAGTTTTCTGAGCTTCATTTTCAGTGTTTTACGTGCAAACACTTTACCCCCTTTTTGGTTTGCTTTTTGTTGCTGTTGGCTCCTTTCAGCTTTCTTGCTTGGAGTTTCAAGGGCTGAAGCCAACATGACATGTGCCCCACCCCAACCTGCTCTCACAGTTGGACTTGGCAGAACTTGTCACCAGCTTGTTATGTTCTTTTATAGACAGAAAGCAAATAGGCAAAGGTTAACAATTGGCTAATTTAAGTGAAGGCTATATTGTGTTAATTGTACTTTTCTTTCAGCTTTTCTGTAAGTTTGAAATTTTTCAATGTTGAAGAATATGTTCTCTTACGTGCCTTATACATTGTAGGTCGTAGGATTTGTTGTTAAGAGTGATTTTTAGTTATGAACTGTATATGTATGTAACCTTTTTTTTTACATAAACTGGATAAGTGAAGATGAGAACCTTCAGAAAATATGTTGTTTCTCTAGTTTAAAAAAAAAGTAAGATATTGCTTTTTTTTTTTAACCACCTCAATGAATATGGAATATGGATAAAATATTTGCATAGATTTAGGAATATGTCATATTTATTTCTCCTGTCATCAGTTGAGAAAAACTACCACAATTAAATAAAAATATCTTCTCTATCACGGCCATCATGCCTGCCTGCCTTCTACTACTGTAAATGGCCAAAAAGATTAATTGGAAAGTGCCTTTTAACAACTTCTAGTTCTTTAGAACTTACTCTAACTTAGCAGGGCTATTTGATTGGTGAGGCAGCAAGATACTGACTACATAGGGTAATTAATTAGTCAATATTCAACCAATGTGAATTCAGGGATTTTTTTTTTTCTAACAGGATAATCTACAGGGGTACAAAACCCAAAACAAATTTCTAAATAAGGAGATTTTGGAACTCTCAGCTCTACGAAGAAATGCAGAAAGGAGAGAGAGGGATCTGATGGCAAAGGTGGGTCAGGATAGATGGATTCTGTTACCTGGTGGGAGGTAAGGTTAGGAAACCATTAAAATTAAGCATGCTTTACAAACCGGTTCAACTCCCAGGCTTAGAGAGATGTGGTTACTGATAACAAAATATGTTTAAAATATATATAGTACATAGAGATATATAGTTAGTCTTATTTTATCTCTGATGAAGACAAAGATAAATGCCCTGAGATGTGAGTTTTTCACATAAACTGGGTAAGAATGAGAAGCTACAGAAAATGTGTTCAGTTTCTCCAGTTAAAGAAAAAGAACATAAGGTATTGCTTTCTTTGTGTGTTACCTTTGTTCATAAGCATTTTTAATGGACTTTGAAGAAAACAAACTAAATATATAATTATAAGGTCCCCTAAATTAAGATTATTTGGGTTTTGATTTATGCTGTTCAGTTTGTATTTATGGAGATGGTGAGGTGAATGCCTTCTCTGTGAACCCAGTAGGGTTGCTGTGAAAGTCTGATATGATTATGGCTGGAAGGGGCTTTACACAAAGTGTAATGGGACCACAAACATTTCAGCTGTCATCAAATGAGTTGTAGTCAAATGACACTTGTCAACAGCTGTTATATACCTGATAAACTTTTTTGAACGGAACTTGAAGCATCTTCCCAGACCTTATTCCTGCGTGTTTTCCAGGGTATATTTGATTTGTCTGATAAGGTGGCAGATGGGAGCTAGTCCTGGACCACAGTGTCGTTAAATAGAATGGGTATAGCATGGAGTGGCCACTCATGGGCCATGTGCCAAATGGCACCGAGCTGGACCTCAGTAGTTGGCATGTAGTAATTGGCATGTAGCCTGTCCAGAGGTGATGCATTTGTTGGCATCCGAAGGTCTGATTATCAGCACTCCTCTATAAGGAAGAGAGGAGCCCACTGCAGGCCATTTTAAACGTGACAGGTGGTCTGTGGCATGAATTAATTTATTGTCTTTGATACAGTCTGTCTCTGGCTCACTTCCTAATAGTTTTGGGTTTGTTGTTCACTGGTTATTTGAGTATCTAAATATTGCTCTTCCTGTGTCTCTGTCTGGATGGAGGTAACCACCACATTCTCTGCAGTATTCTAGCCTGGAAGCCAAGCTCTGCCAGATAGAAAGTAAATACCTGATATTGCTCCAAGAAATGAAGACACCAGTGTGCTCAGAAGACCAGGGGCCCACCCGGGAGGTCATAGCCCAGTTGCTGGAGGATGCTCTGCAGGTTGAAAGCCAAGAGCAGCCAGAGCAAGCATTTGTTAAACCTCATCTTGTCAGGTAAAGGTGCTAGTGACTGTTGGGAGTAGTGCACCCCATTTCTGAAGTCCCTTTTTCAACAGCAGGAACCATTCGCAGAAAGCCGTACACAACTGTGTGTCTCATTTGGTGCTCGTGACAGATGCTGTGAGGTCAGCAGAACAGGTAATATCTTCATTCTCCCCTCGTAATCAAGTCATAGAGCAGGGACTTACCACCGGTCTTCTGATTGCAAGACCTATTTCTCGTGTAGGTAAGGGAGCCTTCCTTCTGATCCTTGCTTACTTCAGGAGGAGCCAGTCTTCCAAGGAATAGGAACCGTCTGCTAAAACAGCCCTACCCACAGGTGGTTCAAAACAAAGGGGGCCCTTAAGTGGGGAACTGAGCTTACACACACATACCCACACACCCCATATATTTTTGGGGAAATCACTGAATCTGGAAGCCCATGATGGATCTTGGATTAAGAACCCTCTCATAACCTGTTTTCTAAAAAAAATTAGACTCATGAAATACTTGAGCCAGGAGAAATCTGCAGATTCACGCAGTTCAGCTTCCTCTTGTTTCCACGACTCAGGACCAGCCCTGTGTCTAGGCCTTGTTTACGGCAGTCTCCTTGCTTCTCCTGCCCCACCCCTGCAGGCCCAGGTGAAGCCTTGCTTCAGTTTGACGTGACCTTTCCCTTCTCTGAGCTTACAGCACCAGCCTGCATTGTTTGGGCTACTCAGATAACAGAAATATGCTCAGAAAGTACCCAACACCATCTTTACTAAACACTTCTATGGATGTCTCACAGGTGCCAGGAACTGTGCTAAGGGTTTTATGTGCAGAGTGGTACTTAATGCTCAGTGAGGTGGGTGTTTTTATTCTCACTTTACAAGTGAAGAAGCTGGGTATGGAGGTGATATAACTTGCCCAGAGTCACCCAGCCTGTGAGTGGTGAGGACAGGCCCTCAGCCGCCTGGATGGTCAGGTTCCCAGGTGCTGGAGCGCCACCTGTACGCTGGGCATTGTTGCTTTGCCCGTCGTGGTGGTTGTTAACTTCTATGAGCTCTTGGAGTGCTTCTGAAGGTGCTGTGTATTACATCTTCCCATGTAAAAGTGTTTTGTGCTCTTACTACTTGTATTGTGTGTTCAAATTTTATATATAAGTAGAATAACCATGTATATTGTTTTATTTTCAACTTTTTCTTATGGAAAATTTAAAACACACAAAGAAGTAGACAGAATTATGTAACATATACCCCTGTGTGCAACTAACTGGAGCACTTGTTAATGTTTTGCCAATATTATTTCATTTTACCTCCCTACTCCCCACAGTTTTTTTTCTGGAATATTTTAAAGCAAATGCCGGACATCACGTCATTCCACCTGTAAACATTTCAGTATGTATTTCTGACTGGATACATACTAATCCCAGATACATATCATTTTGAAACTTATTTCCTTCAACATTATTTTCTGAAATTATCCAGGCTGATACAAGTTAACTCCTGAGCTTTTTTTTTTTTTTTAAGAGATGGGGTTTCACTCTGTTGCTCTGGCTGGCCTGGACCTCCTGGGCTCAAGCAGTTCTCCTACATCAGCCTCCCAGACAGCTGGGACTACAGACACACACGACTGAGCATGTTTACCTTCTTTGTAGAACATCATTGTATGAATCTACCATGGTGTCTTTATTCCTTCCCCTCATGGAGGACATTTAGATCTTTCCATTTTTCCTTGTTACAGTGATGCAAGGACCATCATGGTCCATATTCCCATGTGCCCACGTGAGAGAGTTTCTCTAGGGTGCAGACTGGAAGTGGAATTCCTGGTGTGTAGAAAATATATACCTTTAACTCTGCTAGATCTGATTTTCAAAGTGCTTGAGTAAGTTTACGCTCAGCAGCAGTGTGTGAAAGGCCTTTGTAGTAGTTTTCTTTTACTGGTACAACAAATTATAAACATAGTGGCTTAAAACAACACAATACAAATTTGTCACTTAATAGTTCTGAAGGTCAGTAGCCCAATATGGGTCTCATTGGATTAAAATCCAGGTTTAATTGAGGGCTGCATTTTTTCTGAAGGTTCTGGGATAATTTCCTTGTTCATTTAAGTTGTTGGTGGAATATATTCCTTGCAGTCAGTTGTAGGACTAGGTCGCTGTTTTCTTGCTGGTTGTCAGCTGTGGTTGGCGGCTTCTAGAGCCCCCTGCATTCTTTGGCCCGGGGCCCCTTTTCCCATCTTCGGGGCGGCAGCAGCAGGTCCAGCGCCTCTCACGCCTCCCATCTCTCCTGCCTGACGTTTCTCTGACTGACTCTTCCACTTTGAAGGGCTCATGAGGATATTTGGGCCCACCCAGATATCCCAGATAATCTCCTTGTTTTAAATTCTGCATTAACATTCCATTAACAACATTCCTATTGCCATGTAACGTAAAACAGCCACAGGTTCCAGGAACTGGGACGTGAACATCTTTATCCCTAATAGCTTATAAATACATTCTTCTTTTTTTTATCTTTTAAAATGATATTTTTAAGCATAAAGTTATACATATGTAGTACATACATGATAAAGAAACATACACACGCATTAATGTAGCCAAATTTATCAGTCTTGTTTTTGTGCTGTTGCCTGCGTTTTCTTCCATGCTTTTCATATTTTCAGTGTTAAACTGTTTGGGATTGGTTTTTTCCCTGTGTAGTATCAAGTAGAGATCTAATTTAATTTTTCCATATAGATAGTCATTCTAGCTTTATATACTGAGAAGTCGATTATATCCTCACTGATCTGAAATGCTTCTCATAGTTCAAAGTACCACGTGTGCATAATTTGGTTTCTAGACTCTCTTTTTCTGTTGCGTTGGTCTTTGTTGCTAAAACTTTGTCATTTTAATTTTTCCTTTTGTTTTTATCAACAGTGAATATGATATTTATGGGTTCAGGACTGTACCTGAGGATGACGAGGAAGAGAAGTTGGTCGCCAAGGTCCGCGCTTTGGATCTGAAGACTCTCTACCTCACAGAAAACCAGGAAGTCTCCACTGGGGTCAAGTGGGAAAACTATTTTGCCAGTACAGTCAACAGGGAGATGATGTGCTCTCCAGAATTAAAAAACCTTATCCGTGCGGGCATTCCCCATGAGCACCGTTCCAAGGTATGGAAGTGGTGTGTGGACCGTCACACCAGGAAGTTCAAGGACAGCACGGAGCCTGGCCACTTCCAGACCTTGCTGCAGAAGGCGCTGGAGAAACAGAACCCGGCCTCCAAGCAGATTGAGCTGGACTTGCTGCGAACTCTGCCCAACAACAAACATTACTCCTGCCCCACCTCAGAAGGCATACAGAAGCTACGCAACGTCCTCCTCGCCTTCTCCTGGCGGAATCCAGACATCGGCTACTGCCAAGGCCTAAACAGGTGGGGGCACAGCACAAAATGTTCCCATTTGCCATTAGGCAACTTGTAGGCACCGGTGCTGCCTGGCAGCTCCCTCCCTTCCTGGTTGGCCAAGAAAAGTCAATATTTTAAAAGAAAAAAGTAGTTGCAGCAAGCCAGTTTTCATGACACAGTGTCCCCAGTTCTAGAAGAACTGAGAGAAACAAACATGCTTTCAGAAAGTATTAAGAACACAAGAGTTTAATTCATTTGAAACTACTGGAGTCTCATTTTTTCCTATCCTCATCACACTTGGGTTTTGATCAGAAGTTTGATTTTATTAGTTTGTAATGCATGGAGTGGAAATTGATGGTCACCCCTTGTTTATGCAGTATACAGGATCTTTTTGTGAATCAAGAAGTCGCCCCAGACAATTATTCAGCTGATTGAAACTTAGCCCTTCATGGACTTAAACTTGTTTCCTTTTAAACTAGAACCTTTAACAGGTCTTGCATACTTCCCTACTTCCATAGGCAGAGGACGCTGAAAAGCCTCTCACATTTTCTTGGTGATCCAGGCTCATCCTCCTGAGCTGTGTAGGGATGGGACAAGACCTCAGGAGGACTGAGGTTTGCTCCCCATGAAGCTCTTCCTGTCACTGGACTTTGCACTGACTGCTTCCTAATGGCTTGCGCACTTTCTGCTTACTGCTATCCTGGCAGTTGTCCATTTATATTTCTGTGTTATGAAAGTAGGTAATCAAGTTTGTAAAAAAAAAAAAAAGGATAAAGGTCCAGTGCAGTGGCTCACACCTGTAATCCCAACACTTTGGGAGGCCAAGGTGGAAGGATTGCTTGAGTCCAGGAGTTTGAAACCAGCCTGGGCAACATGGCGAAACCCCGTCCCTACAAAAAATACAAAAAAAATTGGCTGGGTGCGGTGGGTCACACCTGTAATCCCGGCACTTTGAGAGGTCGAGGCAGGCAGATCACCTGACGTCAGGAGTTCAAGACCAGCCTGGCCAACGTGGTGAGACCCTGTCTCTACTAAAAATACAAAACTTAGCCAGACGGTGGCACATGCCTGTAATTCCACCTGCTTGGGAGCCTGAGGTAGGAGATTTGCTTGAACCTGGGAGGCAGATGTTGCAGTGAGCCAAGATCGTGCCACTGCACTCTAGCCTGAACAACAGAGGGAGACTCCGTCAAAAAAAAAAAAAAAAATTAGCTGGGCATGGTGGCATGCACCTCTAATCCCAGCTACTTGGAAGGTTGAGGTGGGAGGATTGCTTGAGCCCAGGAGGTTGAGGCTGTAGTGAGCTGTGATCATACCACTATACTCCAGCCTGGGCAACAGAGTGAGACCCTGTCTCAAAAAAAAAAAAAAAAAAAAAGATACGGATAAAGTAAGAACGAAAAAGCTCTGCATGTGTACCTTAGGAATTCTGTAAGCCGTGCCTGAGCTGGAGTTCTGAGTACTGACATTTGTTCTGGCTGCTCACAGGCCTTTTTGCTTCTGCTCCATGCCAGGTATTGACCTCCAGGTAAGGGTTTTCTGTTTGTGTCTGAAATGAGAGTACTGCAGGAAGAAAGGGTTTTAAACTGAAATGTTATTTGGTTAAGACCTGAAACCAAATGGTTTTCAGTAAGTCATTGTCTCTGTGGTGGTGAGGATAGGGCAGCCTCTCTATGTGCCCTCAGAAGGTGAAAGGGACTAGAGCTACTTCTAGACAGTCTCCATTTTTAAAAAGCCTGTAAGTGGCATCCTGCCTAATGAACCAGTTTTGTTTTGCTTAAAGCCACCATTCACATTGTATACTCAATCTAAAAATTCCTGGAAGCTGGAAACCCCTGAAATTAAGGGTCCTGGTGAGGACTTGAGTGTGCCTGTTTGGGGTACAGTAATGCTCCGTTTATTTGGCATTGTTATGGAATCAGTTTTTTCCTACATAAATGATACTTCCAGATAACTGAAGCTTTCTCTCTACACCTCCACCCTCATCACCATTAAAACCTCGGAGTTGTAATTCTTTGGGATTTTTTTCTTCAAAGTATTTGGTACGTGTCCATGCCTTCTGAGCACCCAGAACTTCAGTAGGACAACTGTAGCCTTGTCTAGATGATGGTGATTCAGGCCTATCATCTGGAATATTGGTGAATTTAAGTGATGTCCTCAAAGGCTTTGCCGCTTTCAGACTCTCTGCTCTTTCTCCTGGCACCATCAAGTCCTGTGGATTTGGTGTCTCTGCTTGCGTGTCTTGTTTTTCTCTCCTCTGTTTCTGCCCGTGGTCACTATTCTCCTTTCCATCCCATCCCTGCACACTTGAGACATCCTCTTCCCGGACTTTTTTCCCATTTAATTTGAGATGAGTTCATTATAGTTTTATCTAAGGAAAAAATGTCTGAGAAATGGCTTCAGGGGTTTTCCCATGAGTGTTGCTCATAAGCTTTGTGTGATGGGCAGAAGTTTTGGGTTTCAGCTGAGTAGAGGGAGGCCTATCTCTCACCTCTTCCTTTCCATTCTGCTGCTCCAGATTCCCACTTGGAGCCATACCAGGGCTGTTGATTAGTGACAGCATGTAAATAGCGGACCCGTTTCCGTTATGAACAACAAAGCAACTGAGACACATGGTCCTCCTCCCCTGCTGTGCATGCAGCGGACACAGCACTGTTAGCTTCTCCGGGGTGCTCTCGTCTGCAGCCCGTTTTATTCCTTCAGCCTGGAAGCAAGATGGCATTGGGAAAGCTGTTTTAAACCGCCCTGTGTTCTCTGTTACTTACATTCACATCTGGATTTTTTTGTGTATGAAAGGGTTATCTGGAACTTCTTGATGAACTCAAAAGAATCAGCTGCATTTGCAAAAATGCTATAATGAAAACTATTTAATGAGGCTGGTTGATCATTGGGAAACTATTTCATCTTTGAACAAAAACCAAATGAAAGTGGGGAAAAGTAGCTTTGCTTCTCAAATTTTAGGAAATGTCCTCCCCCTCCTTTTTTTTTAATGAGACAAGGTCTCGTTCTGTTGCACAGGCTGGAGTGCAGTGGTGCAATCATCATTCACTGTAGCCTTCACCTCCTGGGCTCAAGTGATCCTCCTGCCTCAGACTCCTGGGTAGCTAGGATTACAGGTGTGCATCACTACTCTTGGCTGATTTTTGTTTTTTGTTTTTTTAGAAATGGGGTCTTGCTATGTTGCCCAGGCTGGTCTTAAACTCCTGGCCTCAAGTGATCTTCCTGTCTTGGCTGCCCAGAGTGCTGGGATAATAGGCGTGAGCCATTAAGCCAGGCCCTTATTATTCTTTATTGGAGAACTAGAAATAGTTTTGGCCGTGGGAGAAAAAGTGGCTTAAAGCAGACGGTCTCTGTGGAGACTGTGGTAGCAGCTGTCTGTGCCTGGGCTCTCATCTTGTCCTCCCTTTGCTTATAGGTTGGTGGCAGTGGCCCTCCTGTACCTGGAACAAGAAGATGCTTTCTGGTGTCTCGTTACCATAGTGGAAGTTTTCATGCCCCGAGACTATTATACAAAGACTCTTTTAGGATCCCAGGTAGTTCTGAAAATTCTGTGTTTCAGTCATCACTTTTAGAATTGCAGCTGAAATGTGACCTGAATTAAACCTGTGGTCGGGGTTGGGGGTTTGCTTTGTGTACATGACTTCAGAGACTGATTCCTGAAGACAGCAGGCCACATCTCAGAGGCTGTCCCCAGTCATGGCCTGCTGTTTGTGACTGAGGCCAAGTTGGGTTCATTCAGCCCCCTGCGGACCAGCAGAGACAGACCCGTCCTGCAGGCCTAACATTGTGTTCACTGCTCTGCGCTCTCTTCCCCGGACACAGGCCTACCAGCGGGCTGAGTCATAATCCAGGCGTGCTTGGGTGACTGGTGTGTTAGCTCAGGCTGTCAAGAAACAGATGTCAGGCTGGGATGAGACAAACCAGAGACTTTGGCATGGGGGAACCCCTGTGGAGGACAAGGGACAGAGAAGCTCTAGCCCCAGGAAGGGAGGAGGATGGGGAGGAGAGTCCCAGACCCTGTGCAGTGACCACCATGAAGTCCTGAGGAAGTCTGGGCAGGGCCAGTGGGGAGCCCTCAAGCCAAGGGCAGTGACCAAGGCACCCACCTCCACAGATGGGCTGCATTCGTGCCCCTGCCGCACCCATGCCCTGCTGCTGGAAATGAACATGGTGATGCACCAGAGGGGCATCTCCCACAGTGGGGGTCTGAGTGGCGCATTTCATGCCGTCCACACCTGGAGTCTGATGCCAGGGGCCAGGGCAGGGTGATAAGGGCTGGGAGAGCCCAGTGTTTCCGTCTTTGCTTGGGACAGTCCTGGCCCTGGACCAGATCCTTGGCCCTTGCATCATCCCTAGGCTGAGCTGGGGCTGCTGTCGGCACTGGCTTCCCCATAAGCTGGCCCTTTACATGTGGCCCAGCCTCAGGCAGCTTCTGTCTTAGCCACAGCTGTGCCCGTGTGTGCCTACTCTGTCTCTTGTCTCTTCTCCAGGTCTGTGCCCCCACCTGGCCTACCTGCTCACAGCCTCTCCTTGCCCTTCTCCTGCACCACTCGGTGTCACAAGGCCTGGCCCCACAGGCCAGCGAGAGGTGCTGGCAGGAGACTGAAGGGTGACAGGAGGGACTGAAGGGGTTTTCCCTCTCCCCATCTCGGGCACTGTCTCTGAAGGTGGCTTTGTCTCCTCTGTGCCCAGCTCCTGTTCGGTGTTTCCTCTGTACCAACAGCTGACCCTACCGGCTCCCTTCATTGCTCCCTGCAGGGTAGCTTTCTGCCCTTGCTATAACTGTGGGCTGCCTCGCCGTCAGCTGTTTGGCTTCTCAGCTTTTCTCTCAACGGTGTGGCCAGCCTCTGGATGACATTCACTCTGTGACACATATTTAGAGGGACTTCCATTTTCCTGGCTGGACCCTGAGCGAGTGTTCTTTGCATTTGCATTTCTGCCTTTGGAGGGAGGGTCGTCATTATTGCCTCCTATTTCCGCCTGTGCTCCTCACCTCTCTAGCTCCCCAGGCTGGAAACTCAAGCCATCCTGGACTCTTGCCTCCTTCCCCTGTATCCCTGTCATCAACATTTCTAGTGCTGCCACCTGCCTGGAAGCTTACATCTGTGTCCCCTTTTTGTCCGTCTCACCACAGTGGGACCACCGTCCCCTCTCCATCACGGCAGTTGCCTCTCTCCTTTCTTCCCGCTGCCACTCGCCTACTGCTCCAGTTTAACCTCTGTCTCACTCAGGCATTCAGTCTCGTCCCTCTGCTGCTGTTGTCCGGGGCTCCTCAGGGTAAAGATGCCTTCGAATGCTGCCAGGGCCCTCCTTCCTGCCCGCTGATGGGACATGTGTTCTCTGGGCATGTCCATCCTCTGGGTACTTTCCTATGTAATCCCTCTACTGGAACAACATCCCATTGCTCATCTCCCTGGGAAGCTCCTGTGCAGCCTTAGCACACAGACCATCTCCTCTGTGAGTGGTCCTCCCTGCCCCAAGGCAGGCACGGGGCCCTGCTGCTGTTCCCGCTGCTCCAGTGCAGGCCTCTGGGACAGCAGCCACCTGATTGGATCATCCTTGTGTGCCTGCTTGTCCTCCAGCTAGTCAGTGGTACCTGAGGGCCATGGCCCTGTCTTTCGTTTTTCTTTCTTTTTCCTTTTCCTCTATGCCTGGCACCCCACATAGTAAATGTTTGAACTTACATGAGCTACTGTTTGAACAGGGAAGGGGAGCTGGCATTTACTGAGCCCTGGCCCCGTGCCAGCAGCTGTACAACTGCACAGAGCCCTGCACGCTTGAGCATCAGTCTCCCTATTTGACTTGGGAGAAAACTGGGAGCCGAAGACACTAATAAGCAATTTGCCTGAGGTGCCACTGCTGAAGGGCTGAGCTGGGGTTTGAACTCAGGCCTCTGCAGCTCTGGGCCTAAGCTTGCCCGTCTCTGCCCAGTGCCTAGAACATCACAGGAGGGTGGCAAGAGAGTCAGAGCTCTGGCCTTCCCAGAGGGTGGACTTTCGCCACAGCTGCCCCCTTCAGGTCCCTGTCCCAGTTTCACAGATGTCAGTGGATCGCAGGAGAAGCTCATCTGGTCTCCCTGTGATCACTTCACTTGCTAATTACCCAAGATATGTATTGTTCTGTTGCATTGGTGTGTAGGAAATGAACATCAACAGGAAGAGGCAGTAGTCAGTCAGGTGGGATTAGAGGGTCAGTAAAGAAAGTTTTGTGTGTTCATGGGCACCTGAAAGCTAATAGCTTTCAAAAATTCAAATTTAAAATATCAGGTGACCCAGTGTTTCAGAATAAGAAAAATGAAGCATTGATCTTTCTTAATTCCGTTGAAGTGTAGCCAAGCACCTTGGTTAGGAACTTGGGTGGAGGGTCACATGTAGTAGGTCACAACCCAGGCCCTACCTCCTATGAGCTGTGGAGCTTGGACACATGACTTAACAGCTCTGTGCCTCAGTTTCCCCATATGTAAGATGAGAGTAATACTCCTTCACACAGATTATTTGAGGTTGAATTCAGATGATGCATTAAAGTTGAATGTAATGCTCAGAACATTGTAAAAACTCAGTAAAAGTTGGTAGTATTGTTATAGGGGAAGACTTATTTTAAATGTCTGGATTTAAGATAAAATTTGCATCACATTGTCATGTAAACATAAATGTAAATTCTAAGGAGACTTCTCCCTCCCCCCGCCAACTATACAGGTAATAGATGCTCACGAAAGAGAAGTTAGGCAATGTAGAAAGATGTTAAGAGGAAAATGAAAATTACCTGTTATCCTACCAACTGGAGAACCATGGTTAGCATTTTGATGTATTTCCTTTTGCTTTTTTTCCCCTAGTTCATATAGGTATCCAAATTGAGAGCACACTGTATCCTGGCTGGTTCACATTATAGCATGAGCATTTTCCCATGTCATTTTATACCGTGTACCCATCCTATTTGGTGGCCTAATATTCCATCAGGTGGGTGCTAGAACATGTTTAATTATCCTCCTGCTTATCGATGGCCATTATGTAAGGTGGCTCTTAAAATACGGATAGCTTTGTTTTTGCTGTTGACCCTCAGCACTGGGCTTTGCCAATCACTGTCAAACTGCCTCCTGCCAGAATCAAGTGCCTGAGCCCCGTGTCCACTGCTACTGCAGTCCACATGCTTGTCAGCTTTTCCATTCATTCCATCCTTTGAGTGCATGTTCTGTGCCAGGACCTTGCTAGGTGCTGAGGACACAGAGATGAATGACACAGTCATTCCATGTCCTCCAGAGCTCAGTGGAGGAGGAAGCTTGAACAGAGGCCAGAGCAAGCGTTCCCTGGCAGCCTGCTCCACACCAGCCCTCTGCCAAGCACCCGGGCAGCCTTAAGAGTGAGGCACAGTCGGCCGGGCGCGCGGTGGCTCAAGCCTGTAATCCCAGCACTTTGGGAGGCCGAGACGGGTGAATCACGAGGTCAGGAGATCGAGACCATCCTGGCTAACACGGTGAAACCCCGTCTCTACTAAAAAATACAAAAAACTAGCCGGGCGAGGCGGCAGGCGCCTGTAGTCCCAGCTACTCGGGAGGCTGAGGCAGGAGAATGGCCTGAACCTGGGAGGCGGAGCTGGCAGTGAGCTGAGATCCGGCCACTGCACTCCAGCCTGGGCGACCGAGCGAGACTCCGTCTCAAAAAAAAAAAAAAAGACACAGTCTGCCTCCTAGTTCGGAGAAGAGATGTGTACAAGGATCTCCTCCAACGTCAGGGCCAGCTGATATGCCCCTCCCTCTTGGACGTCTTCAGCTAGATCCTCCAGGCTGAATGAATCACGTCATCATCAACTGGTCTTACAGTGAGCTGTCCGTCTCCCTTGCCACTTTACAGCTCCCTAAAGGCAGCTCCTGACTGGGCATGAAATATGGGAAAGTACGTACAGTTGACCCTTGAATAATGTGGGTTTGAACTGCATGGGTCCACTTACATGTGGATTTTTTCAACCAAACACAGACTGAAAATACAGTATTCACAGGATGTGAAACTCTCTTATATGGAGGACCAGCTTTTAGTGTATACACCAAGGGCTGACTATCGTTGTTTTTTATACTATGGATAGAGAAATTGTTTTACTAGGTTGGTACTAGGTTTTTATTTCTATCTTTTTACCATCAAATCCAATTGATTAGAATTAAAAGCATCAAAGGGTAGTCCGCTGTGTGAGGTTAAGTATTGTTTTGTGAAACATTTATTTCTGTTTTGTACATGTGCACACTGGTTCACGTGGACTGGGTGATGGTTGAAGATGCATGTTTTTTTGTGAGTCATAGACAAAGGCTAGGAAAGCCCCTGGCTGACAGGATAGTTGACTCCTCAGTGTGATTCAGGGGTGTCTGTGACCAGCCTCTGCCTGGCTGTGCTGCCTCACCTCCCAGCCCTCCTGCCTGGAAGCCTGAACTCTGGCTGTAGGAACGGTTTCTCCTCAGGGCTTGGCCGGGACCTGTCCGTGGTTCCACAGGGCTGTATGAACACATCGTTACCAGGGCCTGGCCATAGTTAGGATGGTCCATGTGTCTGGCCTTCCCCTCTCATCTTTTAACTCCTTGAGGTCAGGGTTGAACCTTATTTTTGCTCTGCCCAGCGCTGGCCCCATGCCTGACACAGAGTGGCGGTAACCAGGTATTGCTTGTCTGTCGTGCGATGGGTAGTTTATATAAGCCTCATTTAATCCTCACAGTAGTCCAGTAAGAGAGAGTTAATTAACTATTTTCCACATGAGGCACAGAGCCATTTAGAGCATAATTTGCTAAAAGCCACCCAGCTAGTAAGTGGTAGAGCTGAGATTCAGACTCAGGTCCATGTGATGCTGGAGTCCTTGCCACCCCCACTGCACATAGAGCCCAGGAAATGTTTGTTGAATGGACGTGGTGATGCTGCTTCCTCTTTGACTCAAGACTCCCATCTGCCCAGGATTCCAGTTTTTGGCCATTTGTGTCAACGTCTCCTGTAGTTACATGTGGATTGGCAAGGCTGACTGTCCCACCTGCTCCTTGCAGTGGCCTGTTTCCCAGGGCATTTTGAGTGCAAGAGTTGGTTTCAGGTCACAGACCCCCCCCCCGCTCCCATGCCCTGTGGAAAGCATGTGTTTAGCAGACACTCGGTGTGTACCTGCAGCACACAAGGTCAGCGCTGCTGGAACATGGCAGTCTGGCTCTGTGATGGGCCCCACGGCGCATTTGGAACAGTCGTGCTGCTGTCATGTGGGCTCCACTCCCAGGCTCTCAGGTTGTGTGTCTGTTTGTCTGCTTACCCAGTGACCTGGCAGGCCCCATACACTTCTCCCCTTTGTTCCCTCTCCAGGTGGACCAGCGGGTGTTCAGAGACCTCATGAGTGAGAAGCTGCCTCGGTTGCATGGCCACTTTGAACAGTACAAAGTTGACTACACCCTCATCACTTTCAACTGGTTTCTGGTGGTGTTTGTTGATAGTGTCGTTAGTGACATCCTCTTTAAAATATGGGACTCTTTCCTTTATGAAGGACCAAAGGTGGGTTGGCTCAGCTCAGCTATTTTCAGATATACATGCTTGACAACCGTCAGCAGCGCTGGTGGCGGTAGAGTGGCTGGCTCACCTGGAACTTGTGAGGATTACCACGGTGCCCACGGGATCTCAGCATGGCCTGACTAGAGCTGGGTCCAGGGTATCAGGAAACCACAGTCATTTGTTCGTGTATCAGAAACATTCAACCCACATCAAGCCCTGTGATAGGCGCTGGGAGCTGTGACTTATAGTTGGAGCCTGAGCCTCACCATCTGTCAAATGTCTGGTGGTGTTACCCCATCATATGGAGGAGGAGATGGAGACCCAGAGATCTAATAAGCAGGGGATTAGGGGGACTAACGAGGGGGAGCCAACTGCAGAGCCTTACTGCCCATGAGCCTCCCACTCGCTCTGTTGTATGTCTTTTAAAAATCAGTTTTTGAATAAGGAATACATTTACATACTAAACCCTAATTGTATAAACAGGTGTATGTAATGGAGTGGAGGCCCCCCTAGTCTTCTAGTTACTCTTCTCAATTTATTCTATACCTTAGCTGGGCACAGTGGCATGTGCCAATTGTCTCAGCTATTTGGGAGGCTGAGGTAGGAGGATCATTTGAGCCCAGGAGTTACAAAAGTCTAGCCTGGGCAATATAGCAAGACCCGGAAAACAAACTAAATAAGAGAAAGTACAGGTTGGCACAGGCCCTTAGTTATGGGAAAAGCAATTTGTTCCAAAGCTGCTTGAACTCGCAAGACTACCAGGAGTCCATTCCCTCTAACCTCTAATGTACCCCAAACACAAATTAAAAAAAAAAAAAAAAAAAAAAAAACGCCAGGTGCAGTGGCCGACACTTGTAATCCCAGAACTTTGGGAGGCCGAGGCAGGCGGATCATGAGGTCAGGAGATGGAGACCATCGTGGCTAACATAGTAAAACCCCGCCTCTACTCAAAATACAAAAATAGCCGGGTGTGGTGGCAGGCGCCTGTAGTCCTAGCTACTCAGGAGGCTGAGGCAGGAGAATCACTTGAACCTGGGAGGCAGAGGTTGCAGTGAGCCGAGATTGCGCCGCTGCATTCCAGCCTGGGCGGCAGAGCAAGACTCCATCTCAAAAAAATTAAATAAAAAATAAAAATAAAATTAAAAAAAATCTCCTTCCCTGTCTTCAAAAGTACACTAGTTGAGATGGAAACAGCCTCTGTAGGTGGGACTTTCTAAGAGTTTCAGAATCAGAAAACTTTGGTTTTGGTTTTATTTTAAAATGATTCCTTATGCTTGTTCCTTATGCTTTATTGACTAGAAGTGTTCTCTGAATATGAAAGGATTCCACAAAGATCTCCTATAAGGAGATTTTTGGTTTGGGCTGATGTGTTGTTGAAAACCACCAGAGTTTATTTTCCTGTAATAAAGGAGTCTTGGCCTAGCCAGGAAAAATTGCCGCTCAGGTCAGTTGTCTTTCCCCAGGTTGGGGACCATGCAAGCCATGTCCCCCTGTCCCCAGTGAGGCCAGCACCCCCCTGGAGTCCAGCCTTGTGCCTGGACCCACGAGGGTTTTTCTGCTAACAGATTTCCCTGTTTATTCCACAGGTTATTTTCCGTTTTGCTCTGGCACTTTTTAAGTACAAGGAAGAGGAGATTTTGAAATTGCAAGATTCCATGTCTATATTTAAGTATCTCCGCTACTTCACTCGCACTATCCTTGATGCTAGGTGAGTCCTGGGGAGTTCTCAGATGTCAAGGAGAGCAGGAAGCCTGGCCCCTGCCTCCTTGAGAGTAGCGTGTCCTTGCTGTCTTCCAACTCGGAGCCGTGCCAAGTGTACGGTGTGGGAGGGGCATTGCTTTCCAGGGAAAGGAAGGAGTAAGGGGTGTGAGCCCCAAGTAGCCTTACGTAGGAGGAACTGAGATGATTCTGTCCTTTGTCCTACAAACACAGATCCCAACAACCAACGGCAATAGTTTCATTTGTCTAGAAAGCATTTACTGAGTACCTGCTGCATGGTAGGGCCTGTGCTGCACACTGAGGATGTCGGATGGAGAGTAAGGCCTGTCCTAGAAGACCTTGCTGGGGACACCATTGCGCATCATTTGATCCGTGCTATGGTAGAGGGAGCCCAGGCCAGAGAAAGGCTGAGTAAGCTGGCCAAGGGGCAGCAAGGAAACAGTATGGGGATGGGGGTCCTTCAGGGGCGGTGGCGCAGAACTGTGGGGCAAGTGCGTTTGGGGAAGTGTGGAGGCAGCTCAGCCCGGCTGTTGCCAGTGTGGCTGGGCCATAGCAGAGCTGGGCTGTCAGGGTGCTTACAGACTTTGCTCAGGACTTGAGGCTTCATCTTGAGCGCTAGGAAGTATTGCAGGGTTAGGCAAGAGACAAACAGGTCAGATTGGGGCAGGACTGGTGACTGTTAGAGGGCTCTAGGGAGAGAGGTGGTGACCTGGGGAGAGGTGGTCCCACAGATGGAGAAGGAGGGTAGATTGAAGAGAGGGAGGGAGGAATTTGACTTGGAGGACCCCTGAGTTTCTGGCCTGGGAGGCCAAGTGTTCAGGAATCCTCCCTGGCCACACAATCATTGCCTGTTCTGGGCCACCTTTGTCTGTGTGGACCACAGCTGGACCACAGCTGTTGGCTGCTCTGACCCTGACAGCTGATTCAGACAGTGGGAGCTGAGGTGCTGGCTGAGGCCATGCCAGGCCTCCTGGAGGTCGTTGCTATTTTCAGGGTCTTTTATTGGGAGTGGGTTTGTAAGTTTCAGGCTTACTAATAGCACCAACAACAGTGCCCTGATTTCTGCCAAATGAGAAAGGATATTGGAATCATACTTGCTGGAGAAAGTTTGATTCTGAGTCCTGGGATGAGCCTTGAGAGTTTCTGTTCATCTCGTGTTGGGTCAGGATTCCTGAGAGTGACACGGAATGAGCTCACCTATGCCAACAGCTAGGGCTGTGTCGGAAGCGCCGCTACCCTCAGTTCTGTACTGGGTCCCAGGCGCTGCCAGGAGGAGCAGAGGCGAGTGGGCGTGACTCTGGCGAGTGCCTGCCCCTTCCCTGGCACCAACACTGCTGGACCTTGCATGGTCCTGCAGCGCCTCCTTGCGAGCGGCTTGCAGTACAGTCTCCCCTGCAGCTTGCTTTAGAAAGTCGGGTCGCCAGACCAGCAGGTGCTTTAAGGAGTGCCAGGCCACAGTGACAGGCTCCCCAATGTTATAAAGACTGCAGGGGCCCATAACCCGCCTATGGGCTGCAGCAACCTGCCTATGGGCTGCAGCCTCAGTGTTTTAATGAGCTCCCAGACTAGGAGGGTTGTATGAGGCCAGTCCTGTTGGGTCATGAGTGGCCTTCAGAAACACAGGGAGGAGTTGTGTGGTCAGCTGCATTCAGAGACGGGGATTAAACAGATTGAACCAGGCTCTGCAGGCACTTCTGGAGCTCAAGGTGCTGGAGCATCGTCTCCCAAATCTAGCTGACTACCGGGCGCCTCATCCCCCAGAGAATCTTCCAGGCCTGGGAGGCAGAGGTGTGGGGTCCGGCTTCCAGGTGCCAGCCTGGGCTCAGAGGCTCTGGCTGGCCTCTGACTGAGGAGCAAACAAGAATTACACTTCGGGCTCACGCTCTGCAGCACAGAGGGTGGGCGCCTTAGGCTTTGGGGCCTAGGGGCCAGGGCTGACAGCCATGGGGAGCAGCCGCTGGTGAGGGGGACTCTGTGCTCCTGCTTCACAGAAGTTTCCTCCCGCTTGGATTGCAGCCCGGTCCAAGAGAGCCAGGCAGGAGGCGGAACCTGAGAAATCCATGGGCGCAGGGACCCCTGTGCCTCAGCCCTCCTGTTCTCTGGTGCCCTAATGTTCTAGAACACACGCTGGGGGAATTCAGAATTTAAAATAAGCTGGCCTTTCTGATTCCTTGAGCCTCTGGACAAGAGTTACATGTCTCAGGCAGCGGGGTTTGGAACACAGAAGGCTGCGCTCGTGTGCGCCGGTGGAAGTTGACAGGAACACAGGCGGTTGACAGCAGCAGGAGTAAAATGGCCTGCTCTGATGGGGACAGGCAGGAAGTCCTTCAGGGCATTTCTGTTTCATCACAGCTTTTCCTGGGGCTGGTGAGTCTGTTGGGCCTTCAAGCTGACAGGTGAAAGGAACGAGCCCCTATGAACGAGCCCCTGTTGCTGGATGCAGAGCGTCTGGGGCCTGGCAGAATCCAGAGAGGGGAAGATGGTGGCCCCGTGTTGGAGGAACTGGCTTATTTTGTGATCCCCAGACACCAGCGTGGCTGACCCCTTAGTGCTAGAAATCTATAGCCAGGCCTCAGGACAGCTTTTAGTTTTATTTTTATTAAGCCACTGACCAGTGGTTAGAGCAAGTGATCACAACCTTTAACATTTTTATTGTAAATTGAGCCTTGACTTGGGGATAATGTGAACCTACTTGAGCTGCACGTTTCTCTGTAGACTGCACCTGACACTTGCTCACACTGCTAGCCATTCTGATAGTCATCGCCAGACTGCCTGGGCCTGTGTTCATTCCCAGTCAATCAGTCCTGGGACACAGACATCCCGGACTCATGCCCGGTGCCAGGCCTCATGCCTACCTGAGGATGCAGACACATCCGCACCTGTCATCACCATGCAAGTGCCGGGCACCTTCTCAGTGCTTGGTGTGTGAACTCGAGTAATCCCACACACTAGGAGGTGGCACTACTGTCATCCCCAGTGTGCAGATGAGGAATCAGAGGCCAGAAAAGGGGGTGACTTCAGTCACACAGCAAGCATGTGGCAGAGCTGGAGTCCAGGCTGTTTCTCCTGAACCTGCACTGGCAGGGCCATTGTTCCTTGTCACCTCTCTGCAGAAGGTGGCTCACCTCTCACGCCAGACCTCAGCCTGGCTAGCGCTCTTCCCACTCCTGCCCCAGGCCACCTGCCAGCCTGTGAGGGCTGTGAGCACTACGTGAGCACTGCTGATTTTCTGTCTCTCCCTGTGTCCTGCCAGGAAGCTGATCACATCTCCTTGGGACTCTGAACCCCTTCCCCTACGCCAGATCCGGGAACCGACGCGCCTACCACTTGAGTAGCTGTCCGGCTGGAGCTGACCGAGCTGGAGGCCATCCGTGAGATTTCTGCGTGAGCGGACACCAGCCCTGACAAGGGTGAGCTGGTCACGCCGCAGAGGAGGATACCTGAGTAGGTCCCGGATGCTGCTCTTCCTGCCTTCACAACCAAAGTGCCCAAAGGTGAAAGCACGCTTAAAAGCCAGAATGTAACGCGTGTGGCTTGGGAATCTGCTGGGCAGATGCCCAGCCAGACTGCACTTCCTCATTTCCCACTTCTGTGCGGGGCAGGGGTGAGGGTCTCATCTGTTTACAGCCATTTCCATGCCATGCTTTTGGGTTACACGATTCTGGCCATGCTTTCACTCGATTAGTGGATCCTCAGCTTACCAGTGGCTAGTTTGCAAGAGCCTGCTTCAGCCTCCGCCAGCCTGTCAGTGCTCTCACCCCCGAAACCTTGCTTTGCTGGGCGTCTCCCCATGTTCTCTCCTGTACATAGTGGCAGTGGTGTGGTTTTGAATGGCAGTGCTGTGAAGGATGCCCACTGTGCTTCAGGCACCTGTGAAATAGAGGGTTGCTGCCTCAGGCATAAGGTCGAAGTGAAAGGGAAATTTGCCTTAGAAAGGCAGGCATATCCCTATTCAGAAATGGCCACTGTAGAAAGCTCAGAACCTCTCACCAGTGGCTTTAAGCTGCCAGCCGTGCCTCCCATTTCTAGAATAACCTTGCTCTTCCACACGCAACCCTTCCAACAGTGGCTCCTAGTCTGCATGGGGAGGGCCTGGCTGCCCAGACACCCGCCCTCACTCTCATGGCCAGCTCATGCTGCAGATCACTGGGCTGCTCTGTCCTCGCCTGCCGTGCCCGCGTAGCCTCGGTGAGATTCTGTGGAATGCCCTTCTTGACCTGTGGGAATCATTCACCAAGTACGACAGTTCAGGATTCCAGGTCAACAGTGGACCGGCATATTGCAAAGCAGACCCACCCCCTGGGCTGGCCTTGGTCGTAGGGATGGAGGAACCTTTTTCGGTGGCGCTGCAGGGCAGTGCAGCTGCAGCATGAACGCCTTGGACAGTTGAAACCTTGGCTTCCTTGGAGATGGCTAGTGTTCTGATGTCTCCTCCACCTGACTGTTGTGTGAGGCCGGCTGCCAGTGTCTGGGGCTGGGAAATCTTTGCTTGGGTGGGCCCAGGCTGGGTGAGTTTCTCCCAGGTGTGTGCCCACCCCACCACTGCCTGGAAGCATCCTTGTTCTCTGCCAGGACACAGGGTCACTGGTGCCTCTGACACGGCAGTTTCTGGGAACTCACAGGACTGCCTTCTGGAAGGCTGGGGAAGAGGCTTAGAGCAAGGAGCTCATTTTTGCTTAATCCCTCTAGACCATCCCTGAGGCGTAGATGTGAGAGGATGTTTTCTGGCACAGTGTTATGAAAATACAAGAAAAACGGTTCCCAGTGGAATGTTTCATATTACCTGACAAAAACTGGAAATCAATCCTTGTTGATATGAACACACTGAGACTAAGAATTGAAGCAATGCAGTTTTCAGAAGTACTTTTTTCCTGTTATTTTGTGCTGTCAACTTTCTAGCAGTGCTGACGGCGAAGCTGGCGTTTCCGCACGCTAGACTGAGCTCCGGCTTCATGTCTTTAGTGGAGCTGGTTAACGTTTCACTGGGTAGAGGGGCTGGCCTCTATATTTAGCCAAAAGCCTTTGCCTCTTTTCAGGCATCAAAAATGGGTTTTGCCATTGTCTTTGTCTTTGAGAGCAGCAGTTTGAGGTCTGACTCCTTCAGGAAGTTGTCCTGTGAGCTGGGCCTTGCAGTCTGCTCAACCAAGTGTTGAACTTCCCACTCCCTCAGCCCATCAGAAATGACAGCTGTCAGCCTGGCGTGGACGGCTGAGGAGGTGCAGCAGAATGGGGTTGGGCCCGCGGGCTGGCACCAGCTGCCCTCAGGTTTTACTTTCCAAGCTGATGGCCCCTGAACATGCCAGCACACACTGCTAAAAAGTCCTGGGGCTTTAGGGACAGGCCTCATGTTGTCCAGTTTGCCCTGGAGAGGTGCAATCTGACCAGGGTCCCATCATGGCTGCAACCCACAGTGGTATGTTCGTGTTTCCAGGCAGCGTCAGCAGTTGCCAGGCAGTGTGTGTGTGCAAGAGCAGGAGAGTTCCTGGAGGAGCGTGGACTGGGACACTTTCTCAGAGGTTCTCCTGCCTGGAATCAAGTGACGTGCGCCCAGAAGGCAAGATAGAAGTGCTCCGCCTGGTTCCAGTTTGGGAACAGGATGGAGCCAACTCCTCCTTCCAGTGTGACTGTGGCTCTACTCTTTCGTGCTAACACTTCCTCTTCATGTCACTGAGGAAAGAGCTGCTCTGTCCCTCCAGTGCTCCCGGGAAGGTCCCTGGCCTCCACTGGCTGCCATGGCAGGGGGCCCTTCTGGCAGGGGCTGCCCCACACTGCTGTTCCTCCTCCGAACCTTCGCCCCAACACCCAGCCCATGGCCCCTGCAAGGGGGACCTTGCCAGCTGAGAAACCCAAAGGCCTGTCCAAATACACGCACCAGGACCGAGGGAGCTCCTCTCCCCACACCTGCTGGGAATTGCCAACTTTTAAATGGATGGGGTTTTTTTTAATGGGTTGAACCTCTGTTAATACTTTTGTATGCTTTCACTACAGTTTATATTTTTATAGGCTATTTTCTCAAGGTGTTTCTAGATTCCACATATCTATTTTATATAACAAGTTCTACGTTATGTGTGTGACTCCCTTGTATCTGTGCTGGCCTGAGCCTGAGTTGCTCTTCCTCTGGCCCTGAATTTTCACTGACTCGCTGTTGTGATGTGCGGGCTCACTTCTTACCCCCAGTAGCCCCAGGCGCTGCCTGTAGTCATGCTGGCAGCTGTACAGTAGCCGCCAAGACTGCTGATGGCTGGAGACGGTTCTGGTTCCAACTATGGTATATTGATATAGGAAGTATCCTAGACAGATGCTCGGTTGGGTTTTCTAACTACAAGTTTGTATTGCACAGATCCCCACCCGCCATCCTGTAGTTTTGTCTTCCTGTGTGTTCCGGGGCTTCTGGGCAGCTGGGCCTGCCTGGGGAAGTCCTTGCAGGTAGGAGGCCATACAGAGACCTAGTGTGTGCCACTGAGTACGACCGCTGCTGGGCAACTGAGGACTGCAGGGGCACCAGGTGACTCTCTCTTTTTATGTCACAGCAGCTCCTGTGCTGACCTTCAGGTTACATTTTGGAACTGTAATACTAAGGAAGAAATAAACTAATTTGTATGATATTCTGTACCAATTGAAATTCATATAGTCACTAGTGATGAGGCTCACCCCAAGGGCTTGGAGGGTGGACCAGGGCTTATTGGTGTTGGGGGGTGAGGAGGGGCTCTCTGACCTTCCAGCCTGGCATTTTTCTGGGTGTCCTCGCCCTTGGCTTACCTCCTGGGGCGGGAAAGGGCCAGGATGCCTTTCCCCAGCAGTGGCAGCCTTGGGAGTCCCCAAGAACCATGGCCAAGCTGCAGGTGTGGGCTGGGGGCACCAAGGTGGGAAGCCAGGAGCTGGAGACTCCCTGTGTCCAGATAACCCCCCACCCAGCCACAAAGAACAGGCATCGCTCTTCCGCCAGCTGTGCCATGCCCTTGCCTGAGTCACAGGCTTGTTTGTCTCCTGCCCGGGCTGACAGCTCAGGCCCAGCTGCCACCGGAGACACCTCCCAGCGATCAGTGGAAAACACCCAAGAATGATGAAGACCAAAGGGTTCCCATAGGGTAGCCAGGGTGGCTCAAGGATTCCCAGACAGGGCAAGCCAAGGCCTGGCAGGCTTTTCCCTTCTGGGGACATGATTCAGCGAGGCTGGGGTTCTGAAGTCACACAGCACAGCAGGGGCGGCAGAGCTGGGACGGACTGGCTCAGTGTGTGGGTCAGGAGCAAGTCCACAGGCTCTGCTCCCCACCCCTTGGAAGGGGCTGCCACCAGGAGCAGTTCTGACTAAGGCCTGGGAAGCCATGACTCAGAGCATGGGTCCTCAGGGTCTCTTTGGGCCAGCCGGGCTGCTGTGGTAGACAGACAGGTACCCTGACGTTCCCCTCCACTCCGCAGGCGTAGTAGGGCTGGATCTGCTTAGCTTGCCCAGCAACTTGCTTTCCTGGCAAGAACTGGCAGGCTGCCTGCTGTGCAAAGCCGCCGCTGGGGCCTGCCTAGGCTCCTCCCTTCCACCTGCTCAGGTGGCCTGGAGCTTGGAGGTGGCAGTCAGAGCCTAGGATGCGAGCTCTGCAGGCCACCAGGGCATGTGCCCTTTGGGCTAATTACTTCTCTCAGAGCCTTGGGCTCCTCCTCTCGAGGATGGTGTTGGTGTGAAATGAGGTGAGCGTGTTGAATTGGGAGCAGCAGATGCACCCAGGCAGCCGCCCTGGCCATACCCTCTTCCGAAGTCCTGGGACAGACACAGTAGGGCACAGCTGGCCAGCCTGCTCTTCTCCTCTCTGCCCACTTTTGCAGAAAATCAACAGACACAACAGGGCCAGGAGAGATTCCCGGGGCCCCCAGTCCCCACTCCAAGGGGCAGTCCCTGCAAGGACAAGGTGGGCCTAATCCCTGTAGAACAAGTTCTGAGGACTACAGAGTGGGGCCTCAGGCGGGCAGCAAGTAAGGGCCAAACTGTGCCTCCCTGCCCAGAAGATCTTCCTGCCTCCCAGAACTCCTACCCTCTGCACACAGGCTCTCTGGCAGTAGCCCCGGCTTCAAGGCCTTCTGTGCCTCACCAGACACCACGCTCTCATGGATCTGACTGCTGCTCACACTGCAGATCTGCCTCAGAGGAGCACGTGGAGGCCTACCTGCCAGGTGCTGCAGGAGTTTTGGGCAGAGGCTGGGGGAAGAGTTTGACTTTTTAAGATTCCCAAATCCAGGATGAAGTCACACTGTAAGCTTGGAATGGTAGATGCCTACTTATGTAAAATCGTAATGTTGTTACTAACTGTTAGAATAAAAATACCTGATGGGGAGGAGTCCCAGCCTGCCACTGGGTAGGGAGAGGGTTAGCACCATTAGGGCGCAGGGGGTGGAAGTTCGCCACAGCCCGGGAGGGTGGGTACTCGGGAGGTCTGTCGGTCAGTCTGTGCATCCTGGCACAGCCAGCGGCGGCAACCCGGGCTGATGGCTCGAGGGGCGCCGTGGCTGGGCGGAGAGTATGAGCGGCAGCACTGCATGCGGATGGCTACAGCTGGCAGCGCCCAGTAGGCGCAGCCTCTCACAGAACCTCAAGGATAGCGTCCCGCTCACAGCCTGGAGGGGGGGAGGCAGAGGGCATCAGGGACAGTGGTTTGGGGTACCCAGAACCGCTCCCACCCCAACCACCTTAAGGAGGCTCCAGCAGCTCCCCACCGAGCAAAGGGCCCCAGTTTCTGGAGTGGCCTCTGAACCGAGTTGCAGGTCTCCAGCTGTTGCTGTTTCTGTCCCACCTGCTCATGGCCAACCCCAGACTCAAGAACGGCGCTGGGCTGAGGCCGGAGGAAAGGTCCTGAGACTCCCACCCTGATGCCTCACATGCCCGGTGAGCATATTTCGGCGCCCAGGCGACTCCCCTGCCACCCCATCTCCATCCTTGCTCACCCCCTGTGTTCCCAACAGATCTCTGCCACAGAACTGGCGGTCCCGGCCTCCTGCCAGCCTGCAGCGGCCTCTGTCCCCGACTCCCACCACCACCCCCTGCCCCAGTACATCTGTCCTGCCAGGCCTCCGTGACCACCTCCAGCCATGGGGGCTGTACTCAGCCTCGGGTTCTGAGTCATAGGGTCCCATCTCCCAGGCCAACCTCCCACTTCACGTTGGCCACAAAGCCTAGGGAGGAGTGGCCTACAGGCCGTCAGTGGAAAGTCCGTGGACTGAGCCCAGGCCAGCTCTAGGCTGTGCCTAGGACTGAGGCTTGGCTGGGCCCTCTTGCCCCATGGTTATCAGAGCTATTTTGGGAGGTGGCTTGTTTCCAGCCTCCTGGCCTTGCTCCCGACCCGCTGCTGCTGCTGACAGATCCAGCTTACTCCAGCAGGAGGAATAGGAGGACAGCAGCCATCCCTGGGCCTGGGACAGTCCCCAGGCCCGGCAGAGGGCACGAGGCAGCAGGCAGGCTCCTCCACCCCAGCTCCAGGCAAAGCTCCAGAGCGCACATCTGCAGGCATGCATCCTGGTCACCTGGGGTGACTTCAGACAAGTTGCTTCACCTCTGGGCCTTCTTGCCCTCCTCTGTCAACCCCGCCCACAGCAACAGATGTGGCCTTGCTGTGTCACTGCAGACCACACACTCGAAGTTTCCTGGCTTTCCACATGTCCCACCTCAACTGTCCCACAGACTAAAAGCAAAACATCCTGGAATTCCAGGTCTGGAAGTCCCCAAGATACCTTCCCAGCCGCCTCCACTATTCACTGGTGGCAGAAAAACCTCACTTAGGACAGCTTCTAGTTCAGCCACCCAACTAGCCCCCCGTTGCCCACTCCCTGCAGCTCACTCACAACCCCCTGAGACCTTGCAAACCCAGAGCCTGGCCATCCATCTGGTTCTAGGCTGCCAGGCGCCTCAGTTCCTGTTCTCTGCCCCATCTGGTCCTCATCCCCGGGATCATAACCACCTCTGCTCCTCCGGCCAGCCCTAACCCTGAAGGGGTGAGAGATGGTGCTGTGCACCCAGCTTAGGCGACACACAGAGCACTTGAGATGTTGGTTGTGGTGCATGCTGGAGGGCAGGCAGGACAGAGTGTAAAGCACTGCCACTGGGCCCGAGGTAATGCGGTTTGAGGCAGGGAAGGCCACCCTGCTAGAGGCAGGGTAGCGAGGCATGGCAGGGGCCACTTGAGCCTGAATGAGGCCGCCCAGGAGCCAGTGCATAGAGAAGGCTGTATTGGACAAGGAGAAGGCAGACCGGGGAGATTGGTGGGGCCCCGAATGCCAGCTTGAGGGTTCTGATGAGGACTCTGTCTCAGGGTAGGGAGCAGACAGCTCAATAAGTACAGGGGCCAGTGAGTTCTCAAACCACAGCTTCTGAATTCCTTGACTGGCAGGGTTGACCCCAGGCCCCTCTCCTGACCTTGCTATTGGGGATGACAGTGGCTTTGGCAGAGGGGAAAGCTGCTTTCCTGAGAGTCGCCGATGCCCACGCAGTGCTGGGCCCTTCATGCCCAGACTTCATTTATGCAAGGATGGGGCTTGGCAGCTCCCTTTATTCATAGTAAGGGTTGCCCTGAGAGGGAAATGAGCCCCAAGGCCACACAGCTGGTGAGAGGGGAGCCTAGGTGATCTTGTGGCCACCTCATTTTCTGCCCTCAGCACTACAGAGTAGCCAGCTGCAGGAAGGAAGTGTATGAGGTGTGTGTGTGTGTGTGTGTGTGTGTGTGTGTGTGTGTGTGTGTGTGTGTTGGAGGCAGCGGGCGGGGTTGTGCAGAACCACCTCTAGCTCAGGCTCCTTCCACCAGGACTCCAGCTGGCCAGGAAACCTCTACCACTGGGATTAGCAGAACCCTGGAAGGGAGGCCCTTCCTGCCTCAAACCCCATTACCTCATCAGCAGGGCCCTGGTTGTGTGTGCCTGTAAATCCCAGCTACTCAGGAGGCTGAGGCAGGAGAATCACCAAACCTGGGAGGTGGAGGCTGCAGTGAGCTGAGATCGCGCCATTGCACTCCAGCCTGGGTGATAGAGTGAGACTCCATCTCAAAAAAATAAATAAAATAAAATAAATAAAATAAAATAAAATAAAATAAAATAAAATAAATAAAATAAAATAAAATAAAATAAAATAAAATAAAAATAAACAGCTGTATTAGATAACATGGGTTTCTAGCTTTGAAGGTATCTGCCCAGTTCTCCATTTTCGTTTTGTCATCATAATAGCATTTTAAGGAATGCTCAAATGTCTGCATTCTGTAGATTCCATTCTGAGACCCTGAGGACACTGAGTGTCAACGATGGGAAGACTGAGGGGAAAAGGGAGGACTAAGAGACAAAGGGGGAAACTGAGGTGTGGGGAGACCAAGGAACAACGGGGAGACCCTCCCGGGAGCGGGGAGAGAAAGACCGAGGGGCATGGGTGGGACTGGAGGCAGGAGGAGACCGAGGGGTAATGGGGACTGAGGCGATGGGAAGGAGATGGAGGGACAGAGGAGACCGAGGAGCAGTGGGAGGAGATAGCAGAGCGGGGACTGAGGGAGCATGGGGAGACTGAGGGAAATATGGGGAGGAAGAGTCGGAGTTAAAGAAATTGCCCTACTTTTCATAAATAGTTCAGGAAATAAGTCAGGGTGGTGAGGGGCTGAATGGACTGGTCTCCAGGATTTGGCAGAAATGTGCAGGCACAAGACTCAAGCCGGAGCTGAGCAAGGACACAATCGAGAGAGAGCTGTGTCCACTGGAGGGAGAACGCCAAGAGCTGGAGCACACTGAGCACACGCCGCGAGCCAGCACCTACCTGCCTCATCCATTTCTCCCAGTGCGCCTGGGACATGGGGCTGCCACCCCATCTCACAGATGGGGAACTGAGGCTCAGAGAAGCCAACTTCCAAACTCCATGGTGGCCCAGCAGTGAGCTGAAGCTGAAGCCAGCGTCCCTGTCCAGAGATGAAGCTCTGCCGCCGGGCTGTGCCTGCCCCACTTCCTCACCTCTGCCGCAGGGTGACTGTGCACTTTGGTCCAGGGCCATAGTGCCAGGAGAACTCGGGTGGCGGACTCACCATGGCCGCCTGCCTCCCTGTGGATGGTGTACTCATAGCGCACTCCCGGGGCTGCTCTCCTGGAACAGCAGCTGGGTGGGCAGGCAGGAGCCCGTGAGCACGAGGTGTCTTCTCCATCCACCCAGTCCTAAAGGAGCCAACCCCAGCCACCTCTGTGAACTGCAGCTACACCATCGGGCCATTTTAAAGATAGGGAAACCAAGGTAGAGGCCACAGCAGGAGTGGCCTGGCTCAGAGCCAGGCCTGGGTGACTGACCCAGGGCTCACTCCTCCAGGACGAGACCTGCCATGAGGGGTGCTGAGCCTGGGACTGCACTCTGCCCCCCACCCTGGGCTCCTCGGGAGGCAGGCACCTGGATCCAGACAGGCCTGTGGACCTCGGGACGTGAGGTTCTCCCAGCTGCTCCCTGCGTGCATATGTGAAGGTGGTCCCTGCCACCTGGTAGTCCCCTCGCTCCACTGGATGGTCCAGCCACCATTGAGGAAGTACTTCTGTCCTGGCCCGCAGTGCCAGGAAGTTGGCAGCTCTCGGCCACCTCCTGGATGCGGATCTCGCGCGGCGCCGGCTGGGATCAGCCCCACATCCACACACCTGTCAGCCAAGGGTTGTGGGTTGTGCCCAGGGTGAGAAGGTTGCTGGTCTCACCCGCCTCCCTCACGTCTCTCCCCGCTTGCCTCCGCCTGCTGATGCCAAAGATTTCATTACTTTAAAGTCTGAGCTCAAAATTGCTCAGATGTCAGTGGGTCACCAGCCTCACAGAGGTGCCAGCAAATCCCGACCCCCGTGGCCATGCTCTGTCACTCCTCTGAGGACCTAAACTGGTCTCATCACAAGGCTGTATCCATCCCTGCCAATTAATTCCTCTTCTAAAAACAAAGTGCTCCAGGCCTTCTCCTGGGACACCCTCCTCATCCCCACACAGCCTGCTTGTATTCATTCACTTCTGTCACACCCATCACGTGCCAGGCACTCTACTTCCTCAGCACTTGTGTAAGCTCATGGGTAACAGCCCTATAGCCTAGGTACTATTGTTATCCCCATTTTACAGATGAGCAGAGAGGCAGACAGGATGGTAACGTGCATGAGCGTCTCTGCTGGATATGAGTAGCTCCGTGGCCAGTGCTTTATCCACCACATTGCACTGGGATGAAATCTGCTGCTCAGCCTGGCATCTCAAGGCCCCATAGCTGGTCCTGCCTTCTTCTTGCCTCTCCAGGCTCTGGCACAAGCTCTTCCTCCATTTGGAAGGCCCCTTCCATCACTTCTGAGCTTTATGATTCAGCTCAACTTCCACCTCCTACAGGAAACTTTCCCTGACTTCCCAGGCCAGACCTTCTTCCTCGGTGCTCCCAGAGTCCCTCTGGCCTCCCCTCCACTGCACTGGTCACACCAGAAGCTTCTGCCCTGCAGACTGGAGCGCTTTGCCTGCATGTCCCCATCACCTAGCACAGCCAGCTTGAGCAACGTGTGCAAACAGACCGAGGTGAGGGCCCGGAGCTGGTCTCAGAAGCTTCAGGGAGGAGACTGCCATTCTTTTTTGAAAGGCCTAGGCTACACACAAGCCGGGGTTGGCCCTGCCTGGGGTCTCTGGGACAGGAGGACTCCCATGGGACATGTCTGCACGTGGGCCAGGGGTCCCCTGACTCTGCAAGAATTCCACCCCAGCAAGGCTTCCCCTGCTTTAGCCATCTCCAGGCTGGGTGGGGACCACAAGGCCAAGGACAGGGGCCCAGGGGAGATGGGGAAGGGGTCACCAGGTGAAGAGCACACCCCTCCCCCACAGCAGTCCCACCCCATACCCAGGCCCTCGGCCTCCTCGCGGTCCCGCCTCACGGTGTGGCAGGTGGAGCCATTGCTGTGGCACACACCACAGCGATCCTCCATAGCACCGGAGTCAATCTCAAAGTCACAGCCCACGTTCTGCAACACACAAGGAGGGAGCTCCTGGTGCTGGCGGCCAGCTCCTCTGTGGCCCCAGCCCCGCCAGCCAGGCTCAGGAGGAGAAAGCTGGGGGTGGGGGCCAGAGGCCTTTCGACCCTGCCCACCCTAGCTGTGCCTCTGACCCAGGTGAACTTCTTACTTGAGCCTCAGTTTCCTCAGATGTGAGATGGGGAGACCCACCCCTTGCTTAAAGGCATGTCGTGAGCATCACATGAGACAAGAGAAGGAAAGAGTTCTGCAAGGCCACGGGCAGGCAGGATCTGACGCGCCACGGCTCCTGACCAGCGTGCAGGAATTTCACCCGGCCAAAGGCACTGGGGCTGGCACCCTCCCTGCTGGTCCTCCTCGGAGCCCAGGCCTTGATACCCCAGAGGCTTAGAAGCCAAGAAGCAGGGACAAGTAGTGGCTGTACATAGGCAAAGAGGAGAGGCCATTGCTGGGTATTAAAATAAGAATAGAAATTGCTACCAAATACTGAGCACTATCTTTCGGGGCTCAGAGCCCTTCATGTCACCTGTGCCACCTAATTTAACTCCCCTTCTGTCAGGGAGCAAACCACTGCCTGGGGGTCAGCCAGCCAGCAACAGGTCAAGTCACTGCCTGGGCTTTGCCTCTGGCTGGGGCGGTGCTGGTGCAGGCATCCAAGGAGATGCAGGGGGCGAGGCCTGACTGGGAGGGGTCCCCAGTGCCAGGAGGCATAGTAGGGCTTTGCCTTTAGAGGTCATAGAGGGTAGGGGCTGGGAAGCCCAAAGGTAGAGCATGAGGAGGGTGGCCTGAGGAGGACCAGGAGGGACCCAGGAGACAGCCTGAGGCCCACCAGTGGGGCTGGGGGCAGCCGGTGCTGGGAGAGCCTCTAACCAGGCAAACCTGCAGATGCCGTTGATGCAGAGGTCCTGCTGGCCCGGACCTGGCAGCAGGGTGCCATCGACCACTGCGTCCCGCAGCTTCTCGGCAAAGCACCATTCGAGGCCGGCAGTGCAGCTCGCAGGGGTTCACTGGGGGCCCAAGTAGAAGAGCCATCAGCAACAGCTGGGGCAGGAGTGTGGAGGCCACCAAGAAGATCCTCTGTGACAGCCACATGCCATCCATAGCAGGCTAGAGGCTCCTACAGCACCAACATGCTGGAGGCTCCGGCTGGGCTGGTAGCTATCTGCAAGGCTGCAGACTGGAGAGCTAGTGATGGGTGAGCAGCAGCCCCAGGGGACATTGGGAGCGGCCCAGGCTTGGGGTGGAGACTGGGCCTCCTGCTTGCATCACAGGGTAACCTTGGACCTACACACCCCCAGCCCTCTGAGCCTCAGTGTCTCCCAAGGGAGGCAGCACTCACCGTCGCTGACCACGGGCACCCATGTGCAGCTGGCCCCCGTAGCGAGCCAAAGTGGCTGCACTGGATGTGGCGGAAGGAGGGGCGAGCGCAGCGGGCAGGCCTGTAGGTTGCAGAGGCGTGAAGCACTTCCGGGCCACCCACACAGCATTTCCCTTTGTATTTGGGCCTGTGGGAGGACCGGGGTGCACCCCAGTGAGGGACTGGTGAATACTACTGCATGGCTACAGCCCAGAGCGAGCGGCTTCCTCCTGCACCCACACCCCGAGATCCCTGCCGCCCAGCTTTGTGCACGCTGCTCTCCTCCCATGGGCTGCCCACCCTCTGGCCCAGACACACCTCTCCCTGTTTTGTAAGGACCTGTGGGAGGTGGCAGCAGGAAGCCTGGAGCTCTGCCCCCCAACCTGCTGTGTGATCGGGGGCAAGTCTTGAGCCACCCTCTGGGCCTCAGTTTCCTCCAGTATAAAGTGAGGTTGGGGCTGCCTCTCTGCAGAGGGCTGTTGAGAAGCTGAAGGTTGTAGGCATGACTGGCACTGGCTGGAGGACTGCTCCAAGTCTCCCACCCATGACACCAGCATCCTAATGAGCCCCTTGAGTCCTCAGCCTCCTTCCTGGTGGCAGTACCTCCCAGCCCGGCCTAAAGGAAGCGCCCAGGCCCCAGCCAGCTGAGGTCTGACCAAGCACAGCTCCTGGAACCCTCTGCATCTGAAGCCAGGGTCGCTGACCATCACCCAGCTCAGACTCCGGGAGGCCAGGAGGCAGGAGGGCCACAGGCCAGTCTTGGTAAGCACAGGGCCCCGGGTGGGGCTGGCTGTGAACCCCATGTCTGCCCAGGTGGCTTCCTGAAGTGAAGATTAGCCGGTAGTGCCTCAGGTCTACAGTACACTGGCCCCCTGCATCTCACCAGATTCAAGATCCCACCGTTTAGACAGGGAAACAGAGGCCCAGAGAGGTGAAGTCACCACCTCAGGCCACCCTTGAATGTTGCCCTGTCCATCTCAGACCTTTGTTGTGCCTCTGAGGCCACCAAGCCCCTCCCGCTGAGTGCCCACTACAGACGAGCTGCAAACTGAGGGCTCCGGCGTGGCGAAACTGCATTTGCCCCGATCACAACTTTACTGGATGGGCACTGCTATTACATAGACGGGGAAACGGAGGCCCAGAGAAGGGGTGAACAGAGGACTGCAACTCAGAGCCATCTAAGGTCTGAGACCCATGCTCTTCGCCACTGCCCTCTCCTGCCTCCTTCCAACCAGCAGCTGCTTTGCCATGTGGCTCTGATGAGTCTCTCCAGTCTCTGGCCTCAGTGTCCCCTCTCTCTGAAAGGGGTCAGCAGTGGGGACTCCTGCTGTCCCCTGCACTGCTGTTTGAAAGTGACTCAAGGTGGCCTGGACACTCGGACTGACCATTATGAAGACACTTCTCAGAGCCAGGGTCTGGGACAGAGCCAAGCTCCTGCAATCGGCTGACTGCCTGGGTCCCTCTGTCCCATTGCCCAGGGTACCCTGGGCCCCACACTCACGTAGGCTGGGCGTGCACTGCCGCCGGCGCTCTGTACGCCACGCCACAGCTCCGCGAGCAGATGGACCAAGCCGCTCCAGCCACCATCCACGCAGCCTCGGTCGGGAAGCCCACGGGTACGCACTCCCCATTGAGACACCACCACCAGACAGACGGAGGTAGAGCCACCCCACTCCCCAGCCTATCAGTCATCCCCACCCCAGTGAGAACAAGGTGGGGTGGGAAGGCTACAAAGGCACAGAGGAAGATGGAAGGTGAGAGAGACCCCCTCACAATCATCACAATCATCTGTGACCCAGGCCACAGGGAGGAGCTGAGCAGGGAGTAAAACAGCCCATGTGCTGACTCAGCTGAAGACACCTGGGAATCGTGGAATCAAGCTCTGGCCCCAGTGCTCATGGTAGATGGAGCTCTTGGGCTGTAGAGAGTGAGGGGCTCTACAGAGGAACAAGCAAGACTGTGAGCCGGGGCTGACCCCAGGGCCCGGTCACAGCAGGTCTGGCCTCACACACCCACCGCTGACTGGGACATCCCCCACCTTATTCTCCCCCACACCCTGGCTGCATCCAGCTGATGACAGGTCCCCACAGAGCACCAGGAGCAAAAAAGGGATATTTGTAAGGAGGGAGGGCATAAGCTATACTTACCCCTTCCTAGTGCTGGCTACCTAATTTAAGCCCCTCCCTGTCCCCAAGGGTCCCCTGACATCCTCCACATGGCAGGGGCCCACTGACCCCAGAGGTTCCTTCTGTGTGCCTGCTCCCACCTTCCTCCCCGACTCATGTGGTGGTATAAGCCTGGCCGCGCTGCTCAGAGCCTGTCCCCAGCTGTCTCAATTCTCCTGCCCAGCCCCTCCTCTGGAAACACTCCCGTTAGATCACTTCAGGCAATCTTCTCCAGGATAAATAGACTTCTCCCACTGTCTCCCTTTTCCCTCTCATGAGCCAGCTCCAGAGGCTAAGGACGCCCAAAGTGTCACAGTTGGTCCACAGTTGATAAATCAGATGGTTCCGGCCGCCATCCCTGGCCTCTCCCCACAGCTACTTGACGCCTCACAGTATCACTCGGGGGCGCAGCCCAGGCCAGGCGAGGTTACTCCCAGGTTGGCATCCACGGGCTGGTGAGAGCTGTCCCCTGAGCCCTCCTGCTGGGTCCCCACACCCCCACACCCACATCGGCCCCACCTACATCCATGTCCTCGCAGGCAGAGTAGGCTCCATACTGGAGTGAAGTGCACTGGTGGCTCACATCATAGAGGACTCGAGGCGGCACCGAGGAAGTCAACACACCTTGGTAGGAGGGTTATTCAGCACGGGCTCTACCTACAGCTAGAGGATGGAGGGGCGTAGCCTCTGTGGGAGATCGATCAGTTCCTGTGGGGCTGGAGAGGAGGAGAGGGTGGGCACAGAGCTCAGCTAGGAATTTCCCAGCTTCTGGCTGTTCAGCTGATCCTCCAACCACAGCCAGCAGCACAGGCCCTCCCGGCCTCTCTCATCTCACCTCCTGGGCACTCCAGCTGGCTAAACAATCCCAACCCCAATCCCAGCCCTCTGCACACGCTGCCAGGCTCCTTCCCCCAGAAGGCCTCTGGACCGCTGCTTCCTCATGTGGCGCTGCCCCTCTGACCCTGCAGCCTCCGGGTCCCTGGAGCCCACCTGGAGCGCAGCCCAACAAGATGATCCAGAGAACATCACATCACAGTTGACACAACAGAGCCTCCGATGGCCCCACCCAGGCAGAGACCTCGAATATCTGTGGAAGGGGCGCAGTCTGAAAGCAGCCACCCCCGGAGAGATGCTTCCAGGGCAGCCGTGCCTGTCCATTTCCCCCACTCCACCGACAGGCCACTCCGGCCCCACTTGTCTTCCTCCAGCCAGCACCCCGGCAGCAGTGGTGGGGAAAATGGCAGACATGAGCAGGCGCCATCTGTGTCCACTATACACTTGCTGCTGCAGTGTGCCAAAGACAAGGCTGCCTAGACACAACACACGAGGCAGGAGCACAGTTGGGGCCCTGGGAGGGAAGGCTCGCAGGCCTGGCTGGTACTCACTTCTGCCTCTGCCTCATCTGTACAGCCCTTGGCCAGTGCTATTGTTTCCTGGGATCCGTGACTGCCTGCTGCCCCTGCTGGAACTTAGGCAGACACCACTACAGCTTAGCAGCAGGAGTGCCCTAACCAGCATGCTGACCACACTGCCTATGGCTCACTGCTGTCCTGAGGAACTGGAGGAAGGTTTGGGGCCTTCTGGGGCAGCAGGCTGTGAGAATTGAGCCACGCAGACATGCAGGGCTGGGATGACCCAGGCAGCCACGGCTGGGCAGAAGCAACGGAGGGAGGCAGGACCCGTGGGACTCCGGGGCCTCTAGCCAGCAGGGGGAGATGGGGAGGCACAAACCTCCAGTTCTATAGTCTGGTGGCCTCAGGCCAGGTGGTGCCAGGCCAGAGGCCAGGATGAGTATACAGTCCTGGCTGGGACAGGTGGGGGGTTGCACAGGGAAGAAGGGCAAAGGTGATGGATCCTGGAGTCCAGCAGGGAGAGAAAGACACTCCGAGATGTGGAGAGGCTGGGAGAACATGAAAGGGTCTGGAACAGGGCCAAGACCGGGCTGGAAGGCAGGTGTGGAGAGAGGCTGAGGGTAGATCAGACCATGGAATCCCAAACCCAGATTTCAGAGGAGGCCTGGCAGCTGGGAGACCCAGGTGGGGTGGGTGGTCTCAGTGTGGTCTCCTAAGTCCCTGGCCAGCATGGCCCCTGGCTCTGCCTAGAGCTGCAGAGAAGAAAGCTGCTGTGACCAGACTCTACTGAGAACCCTGAATCCTCCCTGAATCCCCCAGACTGTATGCTGGCTGGAACAGACCTCTAACACGGCGCGGTAGACGAGCAGCTGCTGGATGCAGTTCTAGTGCCCAAGATGACCACGTGCCAGGCTGGTCCCGGTACTGGGGGCATACTCTTACTTGCTCCTCACAACATCCCAGGCAGACTCTACCATCATCTCTCCTCACACACTCAGGGCCCATACGTCACTTGCCCTGGGTCACGCAAGAGGGACGTGATGGCCAGGATCTGAAGCCAGGCCCCGGCTGCCTGCACCAGGCTGTGTCTACTCACTAAGCTGCCGCCAGTGCAGGGCTCCTCCCATTCAGCCGAGCCTGGCCTCTTCAAATACTTCACCCCAAATACAAGTTCAAAACCATGGCAGCCAAGGCCTGGTGGGGAGAAAGGAGTGTCCCAAGTGCTCCTGCAGCTTGGGGCTCCCTGAGCCTCCCTGGGCCTGCACCCGGGGCAGAGTGTCAGCAGTGGGTGGTGGGCTCAGCTGGTCTCCTGGGCTCCTCCTCCTTCCCGCTAGCATTCTGTGGCTCCAGGAGGCAGACTGGGGGGGCTCACCTATCCCAGCCAGGGGGTGTCCTCTGATCCCGTGGCTGAGGGGTCCTATGTGCCTCTATCCTGCACTAACAGTCCCTGGCTACAGCCCAGCCCGTCTGCTTCCTGGCTGCCCCAGTGCTGACTCGTTGCTCATGTGGCTCCTGGGCTCAAGCTGCTGGGCAGCTGAAGCCACAACAACCTCTCAGCCCACCCTGGGTGTGTGGGAGAAGTCGGGAGCATGAGGCGACTCCTCACAGAATCCACTGCCAGAACTGTGGCCCAGGTGCTGTCTTGGGAGTCAGAAACCCAAGTTCTATTCTCTGCCTGGCTGTAGTTGGGCTGTGTGGCTCCTGGGCCTTCACGTCCTCATCTGCAAGAAGCTGATCCCAAGCTACAGGGGTATAAATAGCAGTGTCTCTTGGGAAAATCACACAGGCGGCCAGCAGCCAGCCCTTCCTTTCCCCTGGCAGGCTCACTGCCAGCTCCTCCTCTGCGCCTGCCGGGCCACACCCGGATCCCCAAACCCATCAGCCCTTCCTCCACGCCTCCTTAGGCTAATTATAGTGCTGGGCAGTCCCACAAGAGGTCAGGAGCAGACAGCAGGTGACTCTGGTCAGAAACCCCACTCACCTCGAGACTGCAAAGAGCTGCCCACCACTGACAGGAGAGACCTGTGGGCCCGCTCCTGGCTACCCCTGGGATCTGGTCATGGAGTCACTGAATGGGGGGTCCATGGGGTGAAGTGAAAGACCCCACATGTGACCCAGCCTGTCTCTCTCCCTGTAGAAATGCTGGCTTCGAGGAAAGTAGGGACCAGGGCCTCCCTTCTCCCACCCAAGTCCGAGTTGACACCCAGTGAAATTTTCGTGACCTCTCCCCAGGGTCCCTTAAAGCACCTTGTCAGCCAGGAAAGGATTCAGAGTTCTCAGGTCAACCCTCTTGGACAAGCTCCAGATGCTACCCTCCACCCTCCCCGCCACCTCCTGAGGGTTCTTCTGCCCACCTCTACACTCACAAGTGGGTTCCGGCCTCTGCCCAGCCTGCCCTCCACTTAGCACCCTTCTTCCTCAGGGTAGACGTCAGCCTTTTAGAGGGGCAGGCTCCTTCTCCGAGTCACTGTCCCTGACTCCCAGGAGGGCTTGGTGCCCTCTCTAGTCCTACAGCCCACGAGGACTGCATGCCTCGGTGCCAAATCATCCCTAACTGTCATCTGTCCGTCTCCCCCTGGTGTGAGGATCTGCAGGACAGGCACCTGGAGGTCTGTCTCCTTTACCACGGTCCCCACACACAGGTCCTGATGGACACGGAGTCTGTGGACACAGCAAGAACGAGTCTGGATTCAGCCCTGTGGGTCTACCTGGCTGGGTAAGCATCTACGCACAGGAAGCCAAGGGGCTTCAGGACCAGCCAGGATGAGGGGGTTGTCTGTGAGTGCTCCGAGGTGCCCCCCAAGTCCTGGGAACACTGCTCATCATTTGCACCCTCGGTGAATCTCACTCATTCTGTCCCCCAACCAGCTGGGTGGGGCCTGTCCTTTCCTGTCCCACCCCAGCAAGGAGACCAAAGCCTGCAGGCTGGGAGACAGTTTACATGCCACCTCCCCACCTCCAGACACTCCTCTTCTCCACCTCTCCTGGGCCTTGGGAGGGCCCTGCTGCCTGACTCCCAGGATGCAAAGGTGAAAGTGTGAAAGGACTCCGGAAGATGGGGTTCTTCTTCCTCCCAAACACCCCTCCACTGGTGAGGCATGGATTGCTCTGCTTCTGTCTGGCTCACCCCACTGCCAAGGCTCTGGGAGGCCATGGCTGGCTCTGACTTCATCCTGTCCTCCTCTCACCCAGGTCCCTGAGCTGCTCCTCAAGCATGCCAGCAGCTGAATGAGGACAGAGAGGATTTGTCTGTCTGTCTGTCTGTCCTAGAGCCAGGTGTTGGGTGGCACTTGGGTGGGGGCAGCTGGGAACAAGCCCTGGGGGTGCTGTGGCGGCAGCTACTATTCTGATTTTCTGAAGTCATTCTCTCATTCTCTACCTCTCTCTGGGGAAGGAGACACACACCTTCCTTCCACCTTCAGGCCACTTGCCTGGTTCAAGTCCTGGCCCCATCTACTACTTGGTAACAGTGAAGGAAGAAGAGTGAGCGTGCAGTGAAATGCTTACTGCGTGGCAGGTGCGGTTCTCAGCACTGCACATGTTTTCTCACTTATTCCTCATATCACATGCACAAGGCAGTCCCATCATGATGTCCATTTTTTGAGGCTTAAGGGATAATATAACTTGTGTGCCAACACAGGTAAGTCACACCCAGGTTCTTTTTTTCCAAGACAGTTCTTACTTCCTGTTGCCTAAGCTGAACTGCAGTGGCGTGATCTTGTCTACTGCACCTCCACCTCCTGTGTTCAAGAGAGCATCCTGCCTCAGCCTCCCCAGTAGCTGGGACTACAGGCATGCACCACCATGTCCAGCTAAATTTTGTATTTTTAGTAGAGATGGGGTTTTACCATGTTGGCCAGGCTGGTCTCAAACTCCTGACCTCAAGGGATCTGCCTGCCTCAGTCTCCCAAAGTGCTGGGATTACAGGTGTGAGCCACCATGCCGAGCCAGTCTAGGTCCTTAACCACCAAACAAAACTCTTCTCGCCCAAATCTCTAATCCCCACTGGTAATCCCTTTCCTATTGGAGGCTGTAGCATCCTTGCTCTTATATCCCTAATGGACTCATCACATCCCTGCTTAAACCTACAGTGAGTGGACTTCTAGAAAAACATGGCACATTGAGCAGACAGATTTATTGATGCTCCCTTCCAAAACTGCACTCTGATGACAGTAGAGGAAACAAACAAGGCATAAATCCATAAGGGGTGATGATGGACAGAAGGATGTCAAGATTCTGGAAGCTGGGAAGCAGATGGCCGGGCAGAAGACTGGTGTGGAGGATGAAACCAGAGCCAAATGCCTGCAGGGAGGAACCATCCAGAAGGAGAAGCCTCGAAAGCCTGTTTCCAGGACCCTCAGGCCTTAGGCCAGGAAGGCTGAGGACAGTGGGCTGAAAGTCTGTAAGAACTGATCAGACCCTAGATCCCCTCCCAAACCCTGTGACAAGTGACGGCCACCTCTCCACCCACAGAGGGCCGACTTCCCTGGAAAGGGTGAACTAAGAGGCTCTGGCTCCAGCAACACTGGGCAGATGAAGGCCCAAGGCAGAAGGACTCCACAGAGAAAAGAGGACAAGCAAAAAGTCTACACATCAAGGGTAAGAAACACGCCAAGCTCCTTCTCACTTGATGCCAGAATGCTACAGCCAGACATACACTCTCCCAGAAAAGTCTAGAGGCATTCTTCTCTGGGGAAACTGAATCACTCAGAAAATGACCCTGATACTGACATTAGAGGATCTCCAAACAGCCCTATCTGAACTAGTCTCAGTAAAGGATTTGAAAGTCTCGCCTAAGTCTAATAATTGTTTAATCGGTGTTCTGCACTCTTGCTATATGAAATACTGCCAATGCATTTTAAGAAAACTTTTTTTTGAGACACAGTTTCTGTTGCCCAGGCTGGAGTACAATGGTGCAATCTCCGTCACTGCAGCCTCCGCCTCCTGGGTTCGCTGATTCTCCTGCCTCAGCTTTCTGAGTGAGCTGCAATTACAGACACCAGTCACCGCACTTGGCTAATATTTTGCATTTTTTTTAGTAGAGATACAGTTTCACCATGTTGGCCAGGCTGGCCTGCCTTGGCCTCCCAAAGTGGCTGTGGATTACAGGCATGAGCCACCTGGCCAAGAAAACTGTTAATGAAACAAATATTAAAAAAATAACCAAAGGAAAGAAAACATTTCAGGGAACAGAAGAGAAAAGTCAACCATGTAAGTAATAACTTCAACAGAGATAAGAGAACTCACTGTACCCATGAAACAAGGATAGGATCAAAAGGTGCACAGGTTGAGCATGTCCAATCCCAAAATCCAAATGCTCCAAAATCCAAAACTTTGAGCACTAACATGACGCTAGGAAATGCTCTTGAGACTCTGATTTTGGACTTTCAGACTGGGGATTCTGAACTGCTAAGAGCAATGCAAATACCACTCACCCCCAAAAATCCAAAATCTAAAACACTTGGTCCCAAGTATTTCAGATGCAAGATAATTTAATGTATATTTAGTGAATGAAAAGTTCAAGAAATTAAAAGTACAATAAAAAATAAAAATTTATTAGATTATAAAGTAAAGATTAATTAGATACCTCCCTGAAAAAATAGAAAGAGATGGCTGGGCACGCTGGCTCATGCCTGTAATCCCAGAGCATTGGGAGGCTGAGGAGGAGACTAGAGCTCCAGTCCAGCCTGAGCAACATGGCAGAACCCCATCTCTATGAAAAATTAAAAAATTAGCTGAGTGTGGTGGGACACACCTGTAGTCCCAGCTACTTGGGATGCTGAGGAAGGAGGATCATTTGTGGCTGGGAGGTTGAGGCTGCAGTGAGCCATGATTGTGGCACTGCACTGCAGCCTGGGCAACAAAGTGAGACCCTGTCTCAAAAAAAAAGAAAAGAAAAGAAAAGAGAAAAAGGAAAAAGAAAGAAAGAATAGAAAAGAAAATAGAGATGAAAAAGTAGAAAATGTTTAAAAATAAGAAAGTAAGAGAATAGCTGCATATGAAGGATTCCAGAAAGAGAAAATGTAAGAAAGTTATCAACAAATAATACGACAACAGTTCAAGAACTGAAGGGCACAAGTTTCTGGATTAAAACAGTCCAATGAGTGCTACCTCAAATTAAAATAGA